GTCTTCTCCTGCCAGAATATAAGCTCCCTGGGGAGAAAAGGGAACTTTTCTCTCTTGCTTTCTCTGTATCTCCAGTGCCTAGAACAGTGCCTGGCATGTAGTAGGTGCTCAACAGATATTTATTTTATCAACTCGAGAATTCAGCTGACTAACCGGGCTCAGTGGCTCACACCTGTAATCCCAGCACTTTGGGAGGCCAAGGCAGGCGGATCATCTGAGGTCAGGAGTTTGAGACCAGCCTGGCCAACATGGTGAAACCCCATCTCTACTAAAGATACAAAAATTAGCCGGATGTAGTGGTGGGCGCCTGTAATCCCAGCTACCTGGGAGGCTAAGGCAGGAGAATTGCTTGAACCTGGGAGGTGGAGGCTGCAGTGAGCCGAGATTGAGCCATTGCATTCCAGCCTGGGTGACAGAGTGAGACTCCGTCTCAAAAAAAAAAAAAAAAGAACAGAATTCAGCAGACCACAGTTTACCTAGTTGGTCATTGAATATCCTTTTTAAAAATAGCTTATTAACTGATACTGCAATAGATGTCTTGGGGAGCCAGTATATCAAGGAGTTTTGGAAGAAGGTTTTGGCAAAAGACATGGGTTCCTCTCTCACCTCTGTCATTTACTAACTTTGTGATGTTGGGCAGTATATTTAACTTCTCTGAATCTCAGTTTCCTTATTTGAAATGAGGGTAATATTAGTGCCTATCTCATAGGGTTATCGTGAGGTAAATAAAATTAAATAAAAATAATGCATGTCAAGAGAGTGCTTAGCAAAATACCCATGAAACAGGAGCAACCCATTCCAGCATGTTCTCTGTGCTGGGCACTGCTCTAAGTATTTCCCAGGTGTTGTCTCATGTAATCATCAGAATCATCTTTTTTTGTTGGTTACACAACAATGGTTATTTTGTGAACATTTATTCAGCTACACACTTAGTCATGTACTTTTTGGTATTTGGATTACAGTCAGTAAAAGGTTTACTTAACAACAATAACAACAACAATAAAAGCTCTATGAGGAAGGAAACTTTATCATTCCCATTTTATAGATGAGGAAACTGAATCTCAAAGAAGTTAAATCATTGGCTCAAGATACAGCACAGCCAGGTGCAGTGGCTCATGCCTGTACTCCCAACTACCCAGAAGGCTAAGGTGGGAGAATTGCTTGAGCCCAGGAGGCAGAGGTTTGCATGAGTTGAGATCGTGTCATTTCACTCCAGTTTGGGTGACAGAGCAAGAAAAAAAAAAAAAAAGATCAGGGCTAGGCATGGTGGCTCACTCCTGTAATCCCAGCACTTTGGGAGGCTGAGGCAGGTGGATCACCTGAGGTCAGAGGTTCAAGACCAGCCTGGCCAACATGGTGAAACCCTGTCTCTACTAAACATACAAAATTAGCTGGGTGTGGTGGCACAGGCCTATAAATAATCCCAGCTACTTGGGAGGCTGAAGCAACAGAGTCATTTGAACCTGGGAGGCGGAGGTTGCAGTGAACTGAGATTGTGCCATTGTACTCCACCCTGGGCAACAGAGTGAGACTCCGTCTCAAGCAAACAAACAAACAAAAAGATCATACAGTAAGTGGGTGGGGCTGTGGATCCACAGCTGCTCACTGCCAGACCCATTTAAGCACTCATTAAACAGTAGCCTTTTATTATTATTAACATTTAACATTTTTGTTGTTTTAAAAACTTTTTTCTATTTTAAATAATACTTCAGGGTATATCTTTGGCCATTTCTGGCTTTTCTCTGGTTTTGAATGACTTCCTTTGGATACAATCCCGAAGATAGAATTAACTGGGGAAAATAGGGTCCAGAGAGTTGATGTGACTTACTCAAGGTAAGTAGTGGTGCTTGGAGCAGGGCCACCACGTATAGTTGTATAGATTATTCACTTCACTTGATCTGGGGGTGAGTGGGCTTCCCAGGGGAGTTCAGCCTTGGGCAGGGTTTGAATAGGCAGAGGAAGGGGTGTTCCAAGTAGGGGCCCTTAGAAGGGGAGAACGAGGAGGGTGTGATGGAGAAATAGTGGGAAATCAGTTCCAACGGAGCAGACAGTTGGAGACAGGATTTTAGGAGACAGGTGGGACTGGATCATTCATTCATTCCATAAACATGCTAAGCTGCATTGTATGCCAGGTGCTATTCCAGGAGCTGTAGATAGCAGTGAACAAGCTCATCCAATCCCTGCACTCATGGAACAGATACTGTCTTAGGCAGAGGGTGGGGACAAACAACTGACACAGAAATTGAATAAAATATAGATTGTGATAAATATTGAGAAAGAACCAAGCAGGTGCTCGGTCCAGGAGTAGTAGGACGGGGCCTGTTTAAACAGAGTGGTTAAAGAAGGCTTCTGTGAAGAGGTGACATCTTAGCTGAGGAGGAAAAGACTATTCTAGGCAGATCACATAGCAGGTGCAAAGGCCCGGAGGCAGGATGCTGCAGAGACGGCATTCAAAGCCATGCAGAAGAGAGTCTTGAAGGGTTGTAAGTTTAGAAGTCATTTCAGACAGCCTTGAGCAAAGGATTCTTTTTCCCCAACCCCATCCCAGCTTTTTTCTTTCTCTCTCTCTTTCTTTTGGAGACTGGGTCTCACTCTGTTGCCCAGGCTGGAGTGCAGTGGCATGATCTCAGATCACTGCAATCCCCACCTCCTGGGCTCAACCAATCCTCTCACCTCAGCCCCTGCAAAGTAGCTGGGACCACAGGTGTGCACCACCATGCCCAGCTAATTTTTGCATTTTTTGTAGAGACGAGGTTTCTCCATGTTGCCCAGGCTGGTCTCAAACTCCTGAACTCAAATGATCCTCCCGCCTCAGCCTCCCAAAGGGCTGAGATTACAGATGTGAACCACTGCACCCAGCCCCTAGTCTGATCTTTGTTCTGAGTTCGGCTGTACTTTTCCATCTGCCTGCTGGTTGACCCACAGAGCAGTCACCTCAAAGTCATGTGTTCTTCCCAAACAGCTCCCCACCTCCCATCTCCTTCTAAATCTCTACACTCTCTCTTGACTATTGCTGAGCATCTTGAGTCTTCCTTCCTCATTCTCTCACTTCTGTCTCTTCCTTGGCCACTTTTCTAGACCAGGGAGTCAACCAAGTACCATAGTGTGATAGGACCACACACAAGCACTGTGAAAGTACTCAGACCTGGGCTCAAATCGCAGCTCTGCCATTCAGTTCATTTCACAGGGTCTCGGTTCGTTGGTTGGTGTAGGGAAGTTGTACCTTGGTGGCTGGAGAGTAAATGAGATGATGTTGGAGGTGACAGCAGCTGACACACAGTAGGTATCTGATGAGTGACAGTGCCTTGCCCTTTCCCTACCAACCTTGGGGAACTGTCTTGTTTTCTTCATAGCTTGGCTTTTTCTATTTGGGAAGCAGAGAAGTGGTTGAAGTTCTTGGGTAATCATTGACTCTTAAAATATCTCTCTGGGGAACCAAGATCTCCAATATTTCTTTTCAAAGTATTTTAAACAGTTAGCTTAATTTGCAGTCATAATACTATCATTAACTGAGTGTTTATTACCTGTCAGTTACTGTGCTAAGTACCTTATATATTTTGTCTTCTTTCATCCTCATGACAACTCTATGAAGAAAGTTCCATTATTGTCACCATTTTATAGTTCAGGAAACTGAGGCTCAGAAAAATGAATTGACTGGCTTAAAGTCACATAGCTAGTTAAGGGATGAAACTGGGACTTGAACCTACATTTATCTGGCAACAAAAACCTGAGTGCCTGATCACTAGACCATCCTGCCTCACAGCCTATCTGGCCAAAGTAGAAAGAGAGTCAACGTTTCATTTCCTGCATGGCTGGAAGCTCAGAGAAGTGAGAGGCTTGTTCAGAGTCCCATAATGGACTGGACACTAAGCCAGCGTATGGTGGGTCTGGCTCCAGGTCCCAAACCTGCCCCAGCAGAGAAAACTGGGAGGTATGAGACTTCAGGGCATCCTGGACCTTCCTCCTAGAGCTGGACTGCCTCTCCAGAGCAACCGAGCCATAAACACAAGCGGCTCTTTCAACACGACACTGAGCCTGAGTCACTGCGTATTTATAGATGGGCCTCTTCTCCTTGCCTCAGCTTTGCCAGGATTTATCAGGTTCACTTGGGGTTCAGAGGGTGACAACCTGTTTATCATCCAAGGTGCCCAAGCTGGATGTTGGGACATTCTCCGAGAACGAGATCTGGAGTCCTGCCTGTGTTTAGACCTTGCCTGACCCTCAACACCCAGACTGATGCAATTCTCCCTATCCAAGTTGTGCCCCCTTCTACCAGATACTCCCCATGCTTACCCCATCACAACCTTATATACCTAGAGAATTCATGGTCTCAGGTTAAAATGGGACAGAAATGCTGCTTCTTTCAGGAAGACATCCTGGATTGATCTAGGAAGGTTAAAAACTTTCCCTAACCCCACTGCTCTGAGGGAGTAAACTCTCTCATTGGTCAGATAATTAAATTAATCATAATAACATTTGCTAAGACTCTGGGAGGACAAGGTGGGAGGATTGCTTGAGGGCAAGAGTTCGAGACCAGCCTGGCTACATAGCAAGACCCTGTTTCTACAAAAAAAAAAAAAATTACCCAGGTGTGGTGGCGCATGCCTGTAGCCCCAGCTACTTGGAGGCTGAGGCAGGAGGATCACTTGAGCCCAGGAGGTTGAGGCTGCAGTGAGCTGTGATTGCATCACTACACTCCAGCCTCGACAACAGAGAGAGAGAGAGAGAGAGAGAGAGAGAGAGAGAGAGAGAGATACCTTGTTTCAAAAAAAAAAGTAAAACAAACATTTTCTAAGGACCTTCTGTGTACCAGATACCATGCTAAGTGTTTTAACATTACCTTTTTTTTTTTTTTAAGATGGGGTTGCCCAGGCTGGAGTGCAGTGGTGCAATGACAGCTCACTGCAGCCTTGAACTCCTGGGCTCAAGTGATCCTCCCGCTTCAACCTCCTGAGCAGCTGGAATTACAGGTGTGTGCCACAGCACTCAGATTAACATTACCTTTTTGAATCTTCACAATTTTGTAAGTTAAATATTAATTTAATATCATCTTTATAGATGAGGAAACTGAGGCTCACAGAGGTAAAGTAACTTGCCCAAGCCACACGACTTTCCTCCTAGTAAGTAGCAGGACTGTGCTCGAAATCTACGTTTTCCTTGGTTCAGTGGTCCAAGCTGTAGGTGACCTTGGACAAGTTACTTCACTTCTGAGCCTCAGTTTCTTTATCTGTAAAATGGAGACACTAATACCAACAGTTATACAGATTGAATAAACCTGGTACACAGTAGACTCCCAACTGCTGACTCCTGTCCCACACCTGCTAAATTTGTTCATTCTAAGTTGCTTAGGACAATCAACCAGGCCACATCTGGCTCAGACTCTGGGGACTTGAACCTGGGACCCAGGCTCTTCCAGCCACCCCTGCTCCTCTGCCCCTACTCCTTCTGTTTCCTTAATAGTAATCATGTCCTGAGTGACTCAGAACACAGGGATGGGGTGGGTGAAGCAGGCAGGGGAGAGTAGGGTGGCAAGTGAGTAGGGGCATTGGGGGTGGTTGTGTACAGAGGCACAGTAGACAGACCTGGCTCTTGCTCCTGGGGTCTATTTTGGATGGGGCCAGCCTCCAGGCTGCTGGAAGCTGGAGCTGGAGGTGTCAGTGCTGAGTTAACGGAGCGGTCCTTGGGGCCAGATTTAGCAGTTGAGTTCTGACCCCAGAGGGTGGCTTAGCTGCAGGCCCTGGGCCAAAGCCACTTCTGTGATTCCTGCCATGGGGTTCTGGTCTCTGTACAGGGCACCCTGCTCCTTTCTGCTGTCTTCACCACGCCCTCCTCAGCCCAGTGCAGAGCCTTTAACTTGAGATTCACACAGATTTGGGATCAAGGCCTGGCTGTTCCACCTACTAACGGTATGACCTTGGTGTCCTAAGGGTTGTGATGATTAATTGGTGTGTCCAGATAGGGTTGTCTTCCTCCCACCTCCCCCAACACCACTGGGGCCCATGAGGTCAGGGCTAGTTCTCCTGTGTTCATCCTACATCTCAGGGTCCATTCCCCCAGGCCTTGATCTGGCTGTTCCAGGGCCCCCAGGGCTCGCCTTGCATGGTGCTTCCAGAAACTCTGATCCGAAGTGGCCCCTGGCCTACCCAGGGTTGTGCCAGGGCCCAGCTCTGACAGAGGTGAGGGCCCAGTTCTGATGAGCTGTAGCTCAAGTTTCCTGCTGGGCCTCGTTAAATGGACTTATTAAGGAGCCTTTAGAGGGCCTCATTAAGGAACCCTGGCTCCTAGTTTTTAACAGTTTGGAGATTTCTTTCCATCCATTTTTATGCCTGTACCACATATCTGATACATACGTTTATTTACATACCCATGTATAATTTTTTTAAAAGAATAGGATCAGATTATATGTAATAGGCATGTGTTTTTCTGTTTGTGCCTAACAATATATTGCTGACATCTTTTGATATTGGTATTTAATATGGAAAGCTCAATGTCCATTTTTTGAATTGGAGGAATATTTATGTATATATATAAGTATTTATTTTTCTGCATGGACATTTGGAATGCTTATTGGGGTATGCTTTTTGTTGTTATTGTTGTTTAGTAAACTTTTTCTTCAAGTATAATATATATTCAGAAAAGTACACAATTCCAGTCCCAGCACTTTGGGAGGCTGAGGTGGGTGGATCACTTGAGGTCAGGAGTTTGATACCAGCCTGGCCAACATGGTGAAACCCCATCTCTACCAAGAAATACAAAAATTAGCCTGTAGTTCCAGCTACTCGGGAGGCTGAGGCGGGAGGCTGCTTGAACCTGGGAGGTGGAGGTTGCAGTGAGCCGAGATCGTGTCACTGCATTCCAGCCTGGGTGACAAGAGTTAAACTCTGTCTCAAAAAAACAAACAAAAAAAAGTACACAGTTCCTAGGTGTACAATACAAGGCATTTTCACAGAGTGAGTATACCTGTATCACCTGCACCCAGGTCAAGAAACAGGCCATCACCAGCAGTCGCAGAGGCCCCAGGCTTCCTTCTGGCCTCCTCAAGGATAACCACCATCCTGAATGCTGACAGCTCAGATTCGTTCTGCCTTTTTTGAAGTTTACATAAACGGAATTATACAGGATGTCCTCTTTTGCTTGACATTCTATTTATGAGCTTCCTCCATGTTGTTACATGTGGCAAGATTTGTTTATTCTAATTCTGTATAGCATTCCACTAGGTGACCACACGGCAATTTATTTATTTGTCCCACTGATGGACATTTGGGCTGTTTCCAAGGTTTTGCTATGGCAAACAAAATTGCAAAAATGTCCTGGTGTGTAAATAGAGCTATATATCTGCATATCTGTATCTACCTATCTAATTATATCTTTCTGTTATCTTTCTAGTTTTTTGATAAGATAGAGTCCTCAGAATATAATTGCTGAGTCACATGTTTGCATAGTTAACATTTTTCTTTGTCAAATTGCACTCTCCTTCTCCCCCAGGGCCAAGAGCAGTGTCAGTCCCCATGTCCCTACCCCTCACCAAGCTTGAATATTATTCATCTTTAATACTTTTGTCTATTGGATCCAAGAAAAATCAGATTTTATTGTGGTTTTAATGTGATATGTTTAAATTATTGAGGATAAGCACTTTTTTGTTTTGGTTTTTGGGGACATTGACATTTATTCTCATGTGAATTGCCTTTTTATATCTTTTGCTTATTCTTAAAATTTGAACGTATTGTGGATTTTGACATTTGGTCTTTTCATGTTTCTAGTGTTTTCCCCCCCACCAGCTTTGTTTGTGAAGCAACTGCCGGTTTAAATATAGTTTGTTTTCCTCCTGCTCACTGTTTATAATCTGGATAGTCCCTGAGGGTGTGTATGGCAAACCCCAGGTTCAAGCTGTGGGGGTGGGGAGCGGAAGGCCAGGTGGGGTGGGCAGCTGAGCCCCCAAGACTGTCTCCCAGGGGTATAAACAAAGGAACATCTGGGTCAGCACTGAACCCTTGGATTTGGAGTTTGCCCCAGAGGCTTCCCCCAATCCTGTTTCCAAGTCTTCCCAGTGGCACGTCGGGCCTCACTGTCAGTGAAGAGAGCCTCTCACCCAGCCAAGGGGCCAGGTGGGAATCAGGGGGCGCCAGGGCCTGTGTTAGTCCCGGAAAAAGAGGGAAAAGTTAAGTACAAGGGCTAAACAGTCAGCGCTCTGAGGTCGAATCCTGAACCCTCTGAGTGCAATGCCGGATGAGTCTGCTAAAATCCCACAGCTTGGGTGGCTTAAACGACAGAAATTTACTTCTCACAGTTCTGGAGGCTGGCAAGTCCAAGATCAAGGTGATTTTATTCTGAGTTATCTTCTCTTGACTTGTAGGTAGCTACCCTCTTGCTATGTGCTCACATGGTCTTACTTTGGCGTGCATGCATAGAGAAAGGGAGAGAGATGCAACCGCCCAACAGGTTCACCTTGCCTGCTGCCTAGACAGAGCCGATTTATCAAGACAGGGGAATTGCAATGGAGAAAGAATAATTCACGCAGTCGGCTGTGTGGGAGACTGGAGTTTGATTATTACTCATATCAGTCTGCCCAAGCATTCGGGGATCAGAGTTTTTTTTTTTTTTTTTTTTTTTTTTGAGACGGAGTCACGCTCTGTCGCCCAGGCTGGAGTGCAGTGGCCGGATCTCAGCTCACTGCAAGCTCCGCCTCCCGGGTTCACGCCATTCTCCGGCCTCAGCCTCCCGAGTAGCTGGGACTACAGGCGCCCGCCACCTCACCCGGCTAGTTTTTTGTATTTCTTAATAGAGACGGGGTTTCACCGTGTTAGCCAGGATGGTCTCGATCTCCTGACCTCGTGATCCGCCCGTCTCGGCCTCCCAAAGTGCTGGGATTACAGGCTTGAGCCACCGCGCCCGGCCTAGAGTTTTTAAAGATAATTTGGTGGGTAGGGGCTCAGTAAGTGGGGAGTACTGATTGGTCAGATTGGAGATGAAATCATAGAGGGGATCAAAGTTAAGTTTTCTTGCAGTCTTCTGTTCCTGGGTGAGATGGCAGAACTGGTTGAGTCAGATTACTGGTCTGGGTGGTGTCAGCTGATCCATCAAGTACAGGATCTGCAAAATATCTTAAGCACTGATCTCAGGTTTTACAATAGTGATGTCCCCAGGAGCAATCTGGGGGAGGTTCAGACTCTTGGAGTCAGAGGCTGCGTAATATCTAATCTTGTAGCTAATTTGTTAGTCCTACAAAAGCAAACTGGTCCCAACAGAAGAAGGGGGTCTTTTCAGGAAAGGGCTATTATCAATTTTGTTTCAAACTAAATGCCTCCCTAGATTAGTTTGACTTAAGCCCAAGAATGAACAAGGACTGCTTAAAGGTTAGAAGCAAGACGGAGTTGGTTAAATCTGAAATCTGTCACTGTCATAGTTTCCTCAGTTATAATTTTTGCAAAGGCGGTTTCAGAGAGACCTAGAGACAGCAAGAGAAACAGAGAGGAAAGGAGAGCAAGCTTTCTTGTGTCTCTCTTGTTCTTTTAAAGACGGGTCTCTCTCTGTGGCCCAGGCTGGAGAGCAGTGACGTAATCATAGCTCACTGCAGCAGCCTCCAGCTCCTGGGCTCAAGAAATTCTTCCACCTCTGCCTCCCAAGTAGCTGGGACTACAGTATGTGGCATTACACCTAGCTAATTTTTTTTTTTTTTTTTTTTTTGGTAGAGACAAGGTCTGTTCTATTGCCCAGGCTGGTCTCGAACTCCTGGGCTCAAGTGATCCTTCCACCTTGACCTCCCAAAGTGCTGGAATTATAGGCGTGAGCCACCATGCCCATTCTGCCCAGCTGCCCAGCCTTGTGTCTCTTCTTATAAGGGCACGAATGCCATTGGACCTACTTTCATGAACTCATCTAACCCTAATTACCTCCCAAAGGCCCCATCTTCAAATACCTTCACATTTGGGGTTAGGGCTTCCATATGTGAATTTTGGGGGAACACAAGCATTCAGTCCACGACAACACCCCAGTCCATTTCCTAGAAGTGCAACCTTAAGCAAGTTACCTAATCTCTGTGTGACTCAGTTTTCTCATCTGTAAAATGGGGATTATACTGGTATCAGTGTCATGAATTAACAAATGAATTAATATCTATTAAACACTTAGAACAGACTGTGATAGCCTCCAAGATAGAGCTCAGTAATTCTTGCCTCCTGGTAATCAGGTCCTTGTGCAGTTGCCTCCCGTACTGTATCAGGGTTGGTCTGTGTGTCCAGTAGAATACAGTGGAAATGATAGTGTGTGACTTCTGGGGCTAGGTCATAAAATATAGTACCACTTTTGTCTTGCTCTTTTGGATCACTGGCCCTGGGGGAAGCCAGTGCCATGTTATAAGGATGCTCAAGCAGCCCTATGGAGAGGTATTGTGTACTGAGGAACTGAGGCCTGAGGCCTCTCACCAAGTTGCCAACTATGAGTGTGCCATCTTGTTAGTGGATCCGTCAGCTCCAGTCAAGCATTCTGCTAAACTCAACTGCAGCCCCAGCCTATATATATATATATATATATATATATTTATATTTTTTTTTTTTTTTTTTGAACTAATTGAAAAACCAAAAAAAAAAAAAAAAAAAATACAGTGAGAGTCTCACTGTGCTGCCCGGCCTGGAGTACAGTGGCACTATCACAGCTCACTGCAGTCTTGACCTCCTGGGCTCAAGTGATCCTCCTACCTTAGCCTCCTGAGTAGCTAGGACTGCAGGCACGCATCACCATGCCCAGCTAAATTTTTTTTTTTTTTGGTAGAGACAAGGTCTTCCTTTGTTGCCCATACTAGTCTCAAACTCCTGGATCAAGCTTCCTGCCTCAGTCTCCCAAAGTGTTGGGGTTACAGGCGTGTGCCACCGTGCCCAGCCCAAGCCAACTTCTTGACTACAACCTCCTTAGAGACCAGATCCAGAACCACCCAACTTAGCTGCTCTTGAATTCCTGACCCATAGAAACTGTATGAGATAATAAATGTTTATTATTGTCTTAAGCTGCTACATTTTGGGATAATTTGTTATGCAACAACAGATGGTATGCAAGCCATGGGGTTACCTATACTCACTGTTCAGTAAATGCTAACTCGTGTTACTCCTAGCTGTGATAATGTTAACAACGTTTGTTAAGTGTCTGCCATGTGTTAGACGTGTGCTATGTGCCTGTGCAAATGGACTCCCACTTCTGTGCCATTAGTTTTCAGCAAGGGATAGAATGCTAGGGGAGGATAGTCACCAGGAACCCTTGACTCTCAGGACTAGAAATGCCCACAGACATCATTACTCTACCCATTTGTCGTTTCATAGATGAGGAAACTCACACACACAGGTCACGTAACCTGCCCAAGATAAAAGAGCTGATATGTGGAGAAGTCAAAACTTGAACTCAGATCCATTTGTCCTGGGGCACCCTCTTTGTTGCTCTACACTCTTAGGGTCTTATAGTAAGGATTTATTGCATTTCACAGTTTATATGTTGCACAGTTTATAAAGCACTTTCAATACTTCATTTCAGGATAATTAATGTAGAGCCCCCTCCTGACCCTACTTGCCTCCATTTGCCCTGGGACAGTCCCTTTCTCTAAAGACCACCCACTCCCCAGAGCCCTTGTAGCTGTCCACAAGCATTATCTGGCCCTGGGGACAGTAGGAGGAGGCCTGTGTGGCTCCCAGCCCGGGCCATGAGTGAGGAGGTCCTGGGACACTCTGCTCCCCTTCTGTGGCATGCAGGCCAGGCCCAGTGGACTTTGCCCTGGCACTGAGGGCACTGCTTCATGTCCCAGACCCCATGGACCTGCCTCTGCCAACTGCTCCAGCTTTAGCCACTAGATCAAATGACCCATCGGTTTGATCCTGTGATTTGAGATGATTCTTCAATGAGGATGACATCAAAGCATGTGATGGGGATCTTAAACCATAAGAAAAAAACAGTGCCTGTGCCACACCTGCTCCACTTCCCAAGGGTGCTCCAAGCAGAGGCTTGAGGGGAAATCCAGAGCAAGGCAGGGCAGACCTCACGCTCCTAGGGAGGACATGAGGGAGAACAGGTACACACACGAGAAAAAGATCTGCTCCATGATGTACAGGGAAGCATTTCCACAAGCCTGAACTATGGGGACATGAAAGGGGAGACGGACGGTGGTTTCCTCTCCAGCATCACCACCCTTTGGGCCTGTGTCATCACTGGAGCACTCCTCTGAGAACCTGGCCACTGGGGACGTGGAAGGACCGTCCAGGATCACCTGTGGATGCTCCATTTGGCAGATGAAGAAACTGAGGGTGGGTGTGGTTTGCCGGGCATCACATTTCAGTTCTCCAACGGAGATGGAGATGGAGCCCAGGTGTCTGGGCCCTAGGCCGGGGTTTTCTCCTCGGAATCAAGAGGCGTTAAAAAACTCTCAGATCTCTCGCCAGGCGCGGTGGCTCACGCCTGTAATCCCAGCACTTTGGGAGGCCAAGGTGGGTGGATCACGAGGTCAGGAGATCGAGACCATCCTGGCTAACATGGTGAAACCCCATCTCTACTAAAAATACAAAATATTAGCTGGGCGTGATGGCGGGCACCCATAGTCCCAGCTACTCAGGAGGCTGAGGCAGGAGAATGGCGTGAACCCAGGAGGCGGAGCTTGCAGTGAGCAGAGATTTCAGATCTCTGAAAAGTCCCCTTTCTAGAGACAATTAAAAAAAAAAAAAAGTATAGGCTGGGAACGATGGCTCATGTCTGTAATCCTAGCACTTTGGGAGGCTGAGGCAGGCAGATCACCTGAGGTCAGGAGTTTGAGACCAGCCTGGCCAACATGGTGAAAACCCATCTCTACTAAAAATACAACAGATTAGCCAGGCATGGTGGCGGGCACCTGTAATCTCATCTACTTGGGAGGCTGAGGCATAAGAATCGCTTGAACCCAGGAGGTGGAGGGTGCAGTGAGCTGAGATAGCACCACTACACTCCAGCCTGGGTGACAGAGAGCAAGACTTTGTCTAAAAAAAAGAAAAAGAAAAAGCTAGACCTTGAGAGTTAAACAGGCCTGTTGCAGCTTTGCCTACATGAGCTGTGGGTCCTGGGGCAACTCCATACCTTGATCTGTGCCTCATCTGTAAAACAAGGACAGTAAGTATGACCTGTATACTTGAAAATTGCTAAGAGAGTAGATTTTAAGTGTTCCCACCACGAAACAGTAAGTATGTGAGGTCATGCATGTTAAATAGCTTGATTTAGCCATTCCACAATATAGACATATATCAAAACATCATGTTGTACACCATAAATATGTGCAATTTTTACCTGTCGATTAAAATTTAAGTATAACCTATTTATGATTGTTGTGAGGACTAAATAAAATAGTGCCTCGAAACTCTTTGTAGATGTCCAGCCACTTGCAAGCATTGAATCAATAAAAAATAGGATTATAATTGCTATTACCTTCTACCTCCCTTTTTCCTTGCCAGGCCTAGACCATTCTCCCTGATGCCTTGCCTGTTTTCTACCCAGCTGGGAAGAAGACACTACAGCTTCCTACACTTGTGACACAGACTTTGGGAGCAATTCTAAATGACAGGTCTGTTGCTTAGCTGGGTGACTTTCTACAAGTCACTTAAACTTCAGTGCATGATATGCAAAAATGAGAACCATAATACCCAGAATAATTCTCTGACAAATCAATGGCACAGAAGAAAGAGAGGGATGACAGTTGTTACAGTTTAAAAGAGATCCATGAGACAAAAACAACAGAGGTCTCAGCCTGAGTGACGGAGTGAGACCCTGTCTCAAAAAAAATAAAAAATAAAAAAGTATTGTTTGTTAGCATAATGGCATGGTGATTATGTAACAAAAATCCTTATCTATTAGAAATGCATATTGGAGTATTTATGGGTGAAATGACTTGATGTCTAACATTTTCTTTAAAATATTTTAGAAAAGGCCTGGCATGGGAGGCTGAGGCAGAGAATTGCTTGAACCCAGGAGGGGAGGTTGCAGTAAGCCAAGATTGCACCACTGCACTCCAGCCAGCCTGGGCAACAGAGTGAGACTCCTTCTCAAAAAGAAAAGAAAAGGCTGGGTGTGGTGGTTCACGCCTGTAATCCCAGCACTTTGGGAGCTTGAGGTGGGCGGATCACCTGAGGTCAAGAGTCAAGACAAGCCTGGCTAACATGGTGAAACCTCATCTCTACTAAAAGTAAAAGCCGGGCGTGGTGGTGAGCGCCTGTAATCTCAGCTACTCAGGAGGCTGAGGCAGGAGAATCACCTGAACCTGGGAGGCAGAGGTTGCAGTGAGCCAAGATCACACCACTGCACTCCAGGCTGGACAACAGAGTGAGACTCTGTCTCAAAAAAAAAAAGAAAGAAAAATGTAGAAAAAAGAAGTGTGGGCCAGGCGCACTAGCTCACGCCTGTAATCCTAGTACTTTGGGAGGCTGAGGTGGGCTGATCACTTGAGGTCACGAATTCGAGACCAGCCTGGCCAACATGGTGAAACCCTGTCTCTACTAAAAATACAAAAATTAGCCGGGTATTGTGGCATGTGCCTGTAATCCCTGCTACTCGGGAAGCTGAGGCAGGAGAATTGCTTGAACCTGGAAGGCAGAGATTGCAGTGAGCCGAGATCGCACCATTGCACTCCAGCTTGGGCAACAAGAGTGAAACTCTGTCTCAAGAAATAAAGAAAAGATAAAAGAAGTGTGTGGGAATATTGGGGCAATGATGAACAAGTTAAGCTAGGTTTGATTACATGAGCTTATTATATTGTTCTCTCTAGTTTGTGTGTTTGAAACTGTCATTCATAAGGAGTAAAAAAAAGAAACGAAGTGACTTGCAGAGAGGGAGGCAGTAAATGTAGTGGTTAAGAGCTCTAGGTCTGGACACACCACTAATGTTCCATAATTGTCTCTTCATCTGCTGGTACTATAGTCTTATGGTATGTTCTCATAACTGTAATGATGCTGGTTTATAACTTCCTGATTCTGATGCTGACTCTGCTACTCACTGGTGGGGGACTTTGGCTGTGTGACTTATCCTCACTGAGCCTCTGAAGCTCACCTGCAAAACAGGGAAAATTACGATCCCTGCTGTACCAAGTCATGTGGAGGACTGAATGGGAGGATGGAAAGGACTTAGCACAATGCCTGAACATAATAAGCGCTCAGTAAATCCTCCAGTGAGGGGTGCACAGGTTGAAGAATCAGGCTACCGTGGATATGAACCCCAGCTCGGCTCTGCCACTTGTGGCTGTGTGACTCCGGCCAAGCCAATTAACTCTCTGAGCCTCATTTCCTCCTGGGAAAAAACCCGAAGATCATAAAACCTCCCCTGCAGGACTGTGGTAAGGATTAAATGACATGTTTTGATGCCCAGCACAGCCCACGTGGGAATTTCCCTTCCTCACCCCTTGACTTTCAGCAGCACTGGCCTTGCCAGCGCCCCGGCTGGAGTTGATCCCACTGTCCATTTGTTTGGCATCTGCACCTGGACTGCCAAGTGCGGCTGGAGAAAGTCAATAGGGCCATGTGAATGGCTCCTCGCAAATGACACGTCAGTACTGGAAAACATCAGCGAGGCTCTTCTGCTCTTAGACAGTCCTTCCATCTCTCTCTCCAGGGCACTTCCTCTCGTGTTCCACACTGGCTGGTCCACATCTTTTCCACCACTGATGCCTTAGCCTCAGAAGTTGACCTCAATGCTCTCTTGATCAAGGTCATCAAATATAAACACCTTTCTCTCCAACTCCCAACACCTCCATCCATTCCTCTCTTTCTATCCTTCCAGCTTAAAGGTTGGAGCATCCTTCTCCTTCTCAAGGCTTTAGAATTTACTCCATCTCCCCAAAACCCCATTTCCAGTACTTTTTTTCCATTGGCTGCACCATCTCAGCCAAAAAAAAATTGCTGGGCTCAGTGGCTCACGCCTGTAATCCCAACACTTTGGGAGGCTGAGGGGGGCGGTTCACAAGGTCAGGAGATCGAGACCATCCTGGCCAACATGGTGAAACCCCATCTCTACCAAAAATACAAAAATTAGCTGGGTGTGGTGGTAGGCGCCTGTAATCCCAGCTACTGGGGAAGCTGAGGCAGGAGAATGGCTTGAACCTGGGAGGTGGAGGTTGCAGTGAGCCAAGATTGTGCCACTGAGCTCCAGCCTGGTGACAGAGTTAAGACTCTGTCTCAAAAAAACAAAACAAAACAAAAAAAACTTGCTCGAATATCTGAACCTTCTCCAAGTCTGACAGTGATGCAGCTGCTTCTTTATATTTAACCCACTCATTCACTTGTCCACTCATTTAATAAACTTTTTTTTTTTGAGACAGGGTCTCACTCTGTCACCCAGGCTGGAGTGGAGTGGTGTGATCACAGCTTGCTGCAGCCTCAACCACCCAGTCTCAAGAAATCCTCCCATCTCAGTCTCCTGAGTAGTTGGGACTACAGATGGGCAACACTACACCTAGCTAATTTTTTTATTTCTTGTAGAGATAGGATCTCACTATGTTGCCCAAGCTGGTCTCACACTAACTCCTGGGCTCAAATGATCCTTCCACCTTAGCCTCCCAAAGTGCTGGGATTATAGGTGTGAGCTACCGCACCCAGTCAAGAAACATTTGTTGAGTGCCTACTATGTGCTAGGCATTGGGGGTACAGAGATGAATAGAGACCATCTTTGCCCTCAACGTCTTCAAAGTCCAGAGGGAGAGTCAGACTCACAAGCAGATGATGGTAATATGGCAAATGAGATGCAAAGATGGACCATGCCTGACACAGAGATTAACTAGGCATGTGATGAGAAGAAGAGGGAACCCCAAGGTGACTCTCAACTTCCTGGTTGGTGCAAATGGGTGGATGGTAATGCTGTTCACTAAGACGTGAGACAAGAAAAATGGAAGGAGGAGCTAGGTATCGGGGAAGATGGTGTGTTCTGGTTGGAGTATGATGAATCTGAGATACTATTAGAACATCCCAGTAGAAATCTCCAACAAATCTTTAGCTTAGGGGAGAGAGAAGTCTGAACTGGAATTAGAGAGTGGAGAATCATCAGCATATGGGAGCTGGAATCATGCATGTTTATGAGGTGCTTACTGCTTCAAGTAACAGAGTAATTACACAATAATGGCATTTGATATCTCACGTCTTAAGTAGTCAAGAGACAGGCAGCTCTAGGGTTGGATAAATTGGCAACACAATGATGGCATCTTTAACCCAGGTACCTCCTGTGGTTCCTCTATGCCATCCTCAGGGTGTTGACATCATGCTCAGCCTTGTCCCCTTGTGGTTGCAAGATAGCGGCTCTACCCTCTCACAACCCCATTCAAAGGTAAAGATGAAACTTTATTCTTGCACATTCATTTTTATCATGGAGGAGATCCTTTATCTTTAGCCAACAGACATATCCTTGGGTCTCATTGGCCATAACTGCATCATTAGGCAAAAGAGAATGGGGTTGTATGATAGGCTTAAACCGTTTGTAACTCATCTCCTGTGGCAGTGGAGAGGTCCATCTTCCTAGAGCACAATGCTACCCAATGCCTTAACTAAAATGAGGTCCCATGAGCAAGGAAGAAGAGGTGGCCTTTTTTCAGTCCTCATCCTCTTCCAAACCTTGGCTGACCTGACAGTGTTGACTTGACCCAAACACAGTTCAGTGGAGTCTACATTAGGAGCTTGGGTTCCTAAGTCAAGCATATCTGGGTTCATGTCCTAGAGCCACCTCGTGCTCTCTGTGTGACCTCATACAAGTTATTTTACCTGTGTGCCTGAGTTTCCTCACTTGTGGAGTGGGGATATTATGGGTCTTTTGTTATTGGCTGTTGAGATGGTGAAATGAAATAAAGCATACAAAGCATTTAGCACAATGCATAGCACATAGTAAGTGCTCAGCAAAACCTAAGTGCTCAGCAAAATTTTGGGGGGCAACTCTCTCCTCAAAATCCTCCAGCCCTTTGTTTTTAAGGCCTCGTCCTTTTTCTGTAACTTGTTCCTCTTCTTCTTCTCCCATTTCCTCTCTTCCAAGGTTTGCTTCTCCGCTCTATGTCTTGTCTCATTTTTCCCGTCATTCCTCTTTCTTGAAATCCTTCATACCTCTCCTGAGTATTCCACGGCCTCTTAGACTTATTTTGGGACCTGATACCATTGCTCCATATCTCTGCCTCATCGCCTTGGACCGGATGACCCCACGGTCCTTTCATTAGACGCTACCTTAAAAACAGCTACTGGAGGCCAGGCACAGCGGCTCACACCTGTAATCCCAGCACTTTGGGAGGTCGAGGCAGTCGGATTGCCTGAGGTCAGGAGTTGGAGACCGGCCTGGCTAACATGGTGAAAACCCGTCTCTATTAAAAATACAAAAATTAGTCGGGTGTGGTGACATACGCCTGTAGTCCCAGCTACTTAGGAGGCTGAGTCAGGAGACTCGCTTCAACCTGGGAAGCGGAGGTTGCAGTGAGCTGAGATGACACGACTGCACTCCAGCATGGGCAACAGAGTGAAACTCCGTCTCGAAAAAACAAAACAAAACAAAAACAGCCACTGGAACTGCTCTAATGACTTCTACCTGCCAATGTGGAAGATGTCCTAAGAAATATGGAGAAAAGTTAAAATGTGTGCAGAGCTGAGGGAAGCCTTCTAAGTGTCCAGGCAGGGCTTTGTGGCACCGCATGAGGGCTTTTCCTTTCTTTTCTTTTTTTTGAGACAGAGTCTCACTCTGTCACCAGGTTGGAGTGCAGTGGCGTGATCTCGGCTCACTGTAACCTCCACTTCCTGGGTTCAAACAATTCTCCTGCCTCAGCCTACCAAGTAGCTGGGATTACAGGCGTGTGCCATCACACCCAGCTAATTTTTGTATTTTTAGTAGAGACGGGGTTTCACCATGTTGGCCAGGCTGGTCTCAAACTCCTGACCTCAGGCAATCCGACTGCCCACTTCGGCCTCCCAAAGTGCTGGGATTATAGGCGTGAGCCACCGCACCCGGCAGGTTTTTCCTTTCTATCTGCCTTCCTGGGCTGTGAGTTTCTTGTGGCAGGGAAACAGATCACTCATCCATTTGTCATGTTGTGATGTATACTAGTTGCCTGATGTACACTAGTACTCAGAAAAATGTCTGATGAATGAATAAAATATCTGGCTTTGCCACTTATTTTCTTCTTTTTTTTTTTTGGTTTTGTTTTGTTTTGAGATGGAGTTTCTCTCTTGTCGCCCAGGCTGGAGTGCAGTGGCGTGATCTCAGCTCACTGCAATCTCTGCCTCTCGGGTTCAAGTGATTCTCCTGCTTCAGCCTCCCAAGTAGCTGAAATTACAGGCTCGCACCACCACACCCAGCTAAGTTTTGTATTTTTAGTAGAGATGGGGTTTCACCATGTTGGCCAGGCTAGTCTCGAACTGCTGACCTCGTGATCCACCTGCTTCAGCCTCCCAAAGTGCTGGGATTACAAGTGTGAGATGCCACACCCGGCTGTCACTTACTTTCTAACTGATTTTGAATATAATCCTTTTCTTCTCTAGTCCCATTTCAAAATCTATAAGATGAGGGTACTGGACTGCATTTCAAGGGAGGCCTTTCAGCACTGAGTGAAATAAGTGGCCAAGGGATGGAGGATGGGCTGGCTGGGGAGGGGGTCTCCACTGTTTCCAGCAAAATGCTGTGCTGAGGTCTGAGGCAGAGGGATGAGCTCAGAGAGAGGGGCTGCCTGACCCTTCCGTCTAGGAGCTGCCCAGGACTCCAGAAGAGGGGATGGAATTGATTTAGGTCAGTGAGGGGTTGAGCGGGGCTGGGAGGGGGTTGGGGTCAGGAGGCTTCAACCTGGGAGGCAGAGGTTGTAGTGAGCAGAGATCGCACCACTGCACGATCCTTTCTATCTCCCTTCCTGGGCTGTGAGTTTCTCAGGGCAGGGAAACAAATCACTCATCCATCTGTCACGTTGTGATGTATATTAGTTACCTGATGTACACCAGTACTCAGAAAAATGTTCGACATTTTCATCATAGCATTGGCTATTAACCCTTTGAATCCCAGTGGCTCACTTGCTGGGTCCTATCCCTGACCCGCTAGCCTGGTGCCGGGGGGAGACCAATTTCTGGAGGAAGCTCTGGGTACCCAGTCTTCCCCTAAGCCTGCCTCTGAACAGGCTGTTCTTGTTTATGACCCCCGTCCCAGAAGAACAGCGATTGCTCATCCCTGCATGTGATTCGAGAGGGCCAGTCTTTCAGGCCTGGAGGAAACTCAAGCCCCACCAGCCGCTTGGCATCGGAATGCTCAGCTGGTCCCCTCCTGGGGCTCATGTGACCAAGATCTAGCTATAAATATCAGAGGGGCCTCAGACCAAGACAGAATTCGGGCACCAGGAGAAGGAAGCCAACAGGATCCGACCTGGTGTTTCGTGACAAAGGCAAGACTCCCCCGGTCTACTTAGAGCAAAGTCAGTAGAGGAGGCAGCTAGGCGCGGCTCTCACTCCTGCCCACAGAATGGATTATAAGTCAAGCCTGATCCAGGATGGGAACCCCATGGAGAACCTGGAGAAGCAGCTGATCTGCCCTATCTGCCTGGAGATGTTTACCAAGCCAGTGGTCATCTTGCCGTGCCAGCACAACCTGTGCCGGAAGTGTGCCAATGACATCTTCCAGGTCAGTGCCGGGTGCAGCCTCATCCGGGGGTCCCAGGTGGCTACTTGGCTTCCCGAATGAAGCCCTTCTTCTCCCTTAGCCTTCCAACTGGGACAGGCTCTTTTCCCTTGGAAGTGAACCCCTGCAGAGGCCTCTAGACAGGGCTGAGAGGGGATGGGAGGCAGCTCTGGCTGTTGCAGTTCTTCTCCATGACGGTGTTTCCCCTCCCCACCCTGCCCACAGCTCCCCCACCCCTGCCCTGAGCACTGCTGTTGACTCTCCAATCAAGAGTCAAATGCCTCAAGTGATAAGTGGGGAAGGCAGGGACAGGAGAGAGAAACCAGACCCCTGGGGCTGGAGCCAGGTCCTGGTGGCAAGAGGCCCAGAGCTTTGGGAGGAGGGTGTCGGGGAGGCAGTGGGCAGTAGAGGCATCTTCCCTTTCAAGGCTGTTCCCTACAATATGGGGACAGAAGGGGCTCCAAATCCCCAAGAAAAGAAGGGGGTAGGTGTCCTGGCTGGGAGGCAGGATGCGAGGTTCCCCAGGCACACTTTACAAAATGTTCTTTCACGATATTATCTTTAAAGTAGCAGCCTTAGGAGCTTGCTCTCATTGTAATACCCATTTCATAAGTGGGCAGACTGAGGCTTAGAGAGATAAGGTTGCTTGCCCAAAATCACTCAGAGAATAAACATGACTTGAACCCAGGTCTCCTGCCTCCCCATCCTGACGATTGCTTAGCTGCGTCTCAGGTGCTCTGTGTGTGAGGACTGGTTCTCATCGCAGCCTGCGGAGCTCCAGGTCATTAGGTTTGACTGGGGTGTTTGGGGCAGGCAGAGGAAAGGATAAAAGGAGATTAGAAAGGGGAAGGGCTGAGGAGGGAGCCCAGGCCTCACCTTGACCTTTGCCACCTGCAGGCTGCAAATCCCTACTGGACCGGCCGGGGCAGCTCGGTATCCATGTCTGGAGGCCGTTTCCGCTGCCCCACCTGCCGCCACGAGGTGATCATGGATCGTCACGGAGTGTACGGCCTGCAGAGGAACCTGCTGGTGGAGAACATCATTGACATCTACAAACAGGAGTGCTCCAGGTCGGTTCTCATGCCTGCTGGGGGCCCATCCTCCTCCTCAGCCATGCTGTGCCCAGCTCCCCCAAGCTCTTTCCCCCTCCTTCATCTGCTCAGGATCCAGGCCTCTAGCTGGACTAGCTACACGAGCCAGTTCAAAGACAGGATTGGAGATCCATACACCCCAACTCGGCGCTCAGGATCACTCAGCGGATGGGAAGGGGTCCAGACATTAGGCTGCCCTTCCAGGCGATACCAAGACAGAGACTGGGGGAAAGATGAGATGTGAGAGGGAGAGAAAGGCCCTGGGGCCAGCTAAGTGGCTCCAGTCAGCAGAGAAAACGCCCAGTGAGAAACAGCCAGGTTGTCTATAAGGACAGCAACAGCTACTTTCCTGTGTGCCACGAGGAACTGTCAGGCACTGGGAATGCTTCATCTTAGTACCTTCCAATAACTCTATGAATCAGGCATGACTTTATTATCCTCATTTCACAGGTGAGGAAACTGAGGCCCAAGAGGTGAAGTCAATTAGCTAAGGTTTTCCAGCTGGAAAGTGAAAGAGCTGGGAGCTGGCCCAGTTGATCTAGCTCTGAGTCTCCCTGCTAATAAAATAGCAGCTCATTCAGAGGCAGAATGTGTGACTGGTGGAGGTTGTGCAGGGTTAGCCTTAAACTGGGGGAGAGAGGGCCAGGTGTGGTGGCTCACACTCGTAATCCCAACACTCTGGGAGGCCAAGGTGGGATGATTGTTTGAGGTCAGGAGTTCAAGACCAGTCAGGGCAACATAGGGAGACCCTGTTTCTACAAAGGTTAAAAACTAGCTGGGCGTGGCGTGGTGGGGCATGCCTGCAGTCCCAGCTCTTCAGGAGAATTGTTGAGCCAGGGAGGTCAAGGTTGCACAGCCATGATCATGCTACTGCACTCCAGCCTGGGTGACAGAGTGAGACTATGCCTCAAACAAACAGACAAAAAAACTGGGAGGCCAGGCGCAGTGGCTCATACCTGTAACCCCAGCACTTTGGGAGGCCAGGGTGGGTGGATCACTTGAGGTCAGGAGTTGGAGACCAGCCTGGCCAACATGGTGAAATCCCATCTCTACTACAAATACAAAAATTAGCCGGTCGTGGTGGCGCATGCCTGTTATCCCAGCTACTTAGGAGGCTGAGGCAGGAGAATTGCTTGAACCAGGGAGACAGAGGTTGCAGTGAGCAGAGATCGTGCCACTACACTCCAGCCTGGGTGACAGAGTGAGACTCCATTTAAACACACACACACACACACACACCCTCCCCCACAAAAATTTGGGAGAGATACAGCTACAGGAAAGATCTTTACAAACCAGGACATCCTGGTAAGACTCCAGGAGTGCTGACCTCACAGCCTTTAAGGTCTAAAACCTTCACCAAGCATCTGCCTGCAAGCACTGCCCAGTCCAAGGGAAGGTGACAGACCAGATCTCAGGTGAAAAAACCCTGGCCTGGGGAACTGTGCTTGCTAGGCAGCCTCTGTGACTGATGTACTGTACCATCTTGGGTAAGCCTTTAGAGTTTCATTTCCTCTGTCTGCAAACAGAAACAGTAAGATCTGTTATTGTGGCTGTGAAATAAGATATTAATGGAAAATGATTAATGTATCAACTATTTATTGGGTACCTACTGTGTGCAGGCGCTGTATGAAGTACTTTCAGGCATTTTCCCTATCTATTTCTTATAGTAACCCGGAAAGGCATTCCCGTCTCCATTTTACCATGAGGAAATTGAAGCTCAGAGAGGACAAGGGATTTGTCCAAGACCACACAGCTAGCAAGTGGTAGAGCTAAGAAAGAGAGGGTGTGGGAATTTTCTTTTTTTTTTGAGGCAGAGTCTTGCTCTGTCACCTAGGCTAGAGAGCAGGGTGCGATCTTGGCTCACTGCAATCTCTGCCTCCTGGGGTCAAGCGATTCCCCTGCCTCAGCTTCCTGTGTAGCAGGGACTACAGGCATGTGACAACGTGCCCAGCTAAGTTTTGTTTTTTAGTAGAGACAGGGTTTCACCACGTTGGCCAGGCTGGTCTCAAACTCTTGACCTCAGGTGATCTGCCCGCCTTGGCCTCCCAAAGTACTGGGATTACAGACATGCACCACCATACCCAGTTAATTTTTGTATTTTTTGTAGAGACAGGATTTCACCACATTGGCCAGGCTGGTCTTGAACTTCTGACCTCAGGTGATCCACCCGCCTTGGCCTCCCAAAGTGCTGGCATTACAGGCGTGGGCCACCATGCCCGGCCGGCCAGTGAATATTCTTAATTACTGTGCTAGATTGCTTCTCATGTTGCTGGAGCGCAACACTACAAAATGCAAACATATTGTTTATCATAAGGAATAATAAAATCAATTCCACACCAATGTTAGCCCACCCAGTGCCGACCTATGAAGAGCATGTTGTGTGTGAACCTTTGAGGCCTTTCTGCATAGTTGAATGGCAACGACAGCTGCCCTCTATTGAGGGTCTACTCTGTGCCAGGCACTCCACATTCATTACAGACAATTTCTACCATGATTGCAGTAGCTCTGGGAGGAATCCCAGGCAAGAGAGTGAAATCACTTGTCCAGAATCACAAAAATGAATGTGGAAGAACAATCTGGATATGAACCCCGATGCCAAAGTCGAAGCTTGAGAGGGTGGGCATCTGGGAGGAACCAGACCCTCAGGCTCTTGCCTCACCTCTGCATTCCCTGCCATCCCTTTATAAGGGGATGGAGGCAGGTGGCAATGGCAGACCCCTGCCAGCATAAGGACCCTGGGGTAAAAGATGCAAAAAGACAAGCCTGGAAAGGGGTTTATTTAAGAACTTAAGAGGACAGTAGAGCCCAGTGTGCGATCAGTCATGTAAGGCTGTTTGGAGGTGAGGCATTGACACTGATGGGGACAGTCACCATTTGACATTTGCAAGATGCCTGTTCTGTTCGGGGCTGGGAATCGAAGGTAGTGTTGGCTCTCAATGAGTGTATAGTCTAGCTGGAGACAGAAGACTAAAAAAATTGAATCTACACCAGGCATGGTGATATGCACCAGTTGCAGCTACTGGGGAGGCTGAGGCAGGAGGATTGCTCAGCCCAGGAGTTCAAGGCTGCAGTGTGTCTGTGAATTGCTGCTGCGCTCCAGCCTGGACAATATGGTGAGACCCTGTCTCAAAAAAAAAAAAGAAAAGAAAAGAAAAGGAAAAAAAAAAAAAAAACTGGGTGCAGGGGATCATGCCTGTAATCCCAGCACTTTGGGAGGCTAAGGTGGAAGGATCATGTGAGGCCAGGAGTTCGAGACTAGCCTGGCCAACATGGTAAAACCCCATCTTTACAAAAAATACAAAAATTAGCTGGGCATGGTGGTGCACGTCTGTAATCTCAGCTATTCAGAAGGCTGAGGTGTGAGAATTGCTTGAATCCGGGAGGCGGAGGTTTCAGTGAGCTGAGATCATAACACTGCACTCCAGCCTGGGCAAAAAATCAAAAGAAAACAACAACAACAAAATCCCCCCCCAAACCCCAATGAATCTAGGTTAGGAAATGACTGATGTCCCAAGAGAAGCACCAATAACAGGTTGGAAGGTCTCAAGAAAGAAAGGTAGTTCTAAGCATATATGTTACAGGAGAAAGTAAAGGAAGACACTTGGGCCCTTGGAAGAATCTCTAGACTAGAAGTTAGGCTTGTGCTGGGCTGTTGGACAGCCCTGGGCTACCCACTCACCAGTCACCATGACATGGGGTATACACACTGCTCCTTCTCTGAGCCTCAGGGGCAAACTCATGACTCAGAGAGTGTCGGAGGTTTATCCAAGGCCACACAGCTAGAAAGTGATGAAGCTAAGAGAAAGAGAGGGTATGACTGACTCTGTGGTGAATATTCTTTTTTAAAAAAAATTTTCTGTATGGAGAATCTTAAGAAATTCAAGATGGTGAATATTATTGACTCCTATGCTAGTTATTGATTTATTCTTTCTTTTCTTTTCTTTGAGACGGAGTTTTGCTCTTGTTGCCCAGGCTGGAGTGCAATGGTGTGATCTTGGCTCACCGCAACTTCTGCCTCCTGGGTTCAAGTGATTCTCCTGCCTCAGCCTCCCGAGCAGCTGGTATTACAGGTGCATGCTGCCATGCCCAGTTAATTTTTTGTATTTTTAGTAGAGACACGGTTTCATCATATTGGTCAGGCTGGTCTCAAACTCCTGACTTCAGGTGATCCTCCCACCTCGGCCTCCCAAAGTGCTGGGATTACAGACGTGAGCTACTGCGCCCAGCCTTATTGATTTATTCTTTCTACCTTTGTTTAATTACCACCTCCTCTATGCCAGGCACTGTACAGTGTAGGCTCAGGGGTGAAGAAAACAAGCAAGTTTCCCTACCTTGATGGAGGTTACAGTCTGGTGGATTAAATATAGAATTAAATGAGGCCATCAGTATAAATTTCTTAGCTCAGAGCCCAGTCTGCAGTAACCAAAGCTAAGGTGACTATAATTAGAGCAACTGAACTCTAGCCTCCTCTGCCCTTACTTGCTGTGTGACCTTGCACGAGTCAATTCACTTTTCTGGAGCCCAGTTTCCTCTTCTCTAAAACATCTCCAGGTCTGACTCTCTGGAATTCTATGGCCCTTTCTGTGTCCTTTGCAGTGGCAGAGCCTCAGGCTAACTCCATCTTAGGATGTGGGGACAGATTTGGTGTCATTGGCTTCCCAAGTCCTTGACCCCCAGAGGATGAAAAGATTTTAGGGCAACCAAACACTGAGAGCCCAGGGCATAAATCTGGAGATTCACAGACGCACTGCAGCCTTGAACTCCTGGGCTGAGCAATCCGCCTGCCTCAACCTCCCCAGTAACTGCGACTGGTGCATTGGAGCTGGGGAGGGGGATGCAGGACACAGGACCCCCATGACTTGTGACTGTTCTCCACTGCAGTCGGCCGCTGCAGAAGGGCAGTCACCCCATGTGCAAGGAGCACGAAGATGAGAAAATCAACATCTACTGTCTCACGTGTGAGGTGCCCACCTGCTCCATGTGCAAGGTGTTTGGGGTCCACAAGGCCTGCGAGGTGGCCCCATTGCAGAGTGTCTTCCAGGGACAAAAGGTACTGGCTCCAGCCACTTTTACCCCCAGCCTGGGCCTGCTGGGCAGGATGATTCAGGAGGCAGATTTGATCCCTGTAGATCTGCTGATCCGGCCTTTCAGGAATAGTCCCTCTGGAGGGACTTCCCAGGCCACAGGGACAGCAGCCCTGGCCTTCCTTGGGGGAGGAAGCTGAGCTCATGGTTATACTTAGAGCCACTCGAGAGCACCTGGCTGTGGCCAGAGGGGAGCGGTCAGATGCCCCAGCCAGGCCACTGGGGTCCTCTCGGGCCACGGCTTCTCCATCCCCCAGACACCTCTTTCTGTGCCTCTCACCTCTTCTCATAGACTTCACATTCCCCAGCAGCAGGAGGCAGCTTAGAGCCTTCTCGCTGGGGCCCTGGGCCTGTGGGGGCCTGCCACCCTGTCCGTGCAGTCAGCAGTAGCCACCCCCTTTCCATACTCTCTCTTCCCCACTCCGCACTCTTCTCTAGGTCTCTGTCTTCTAGACGTCTCCAACTCTATTTCTTTTTTTTTCCCCTTCTTTCTTAGAAGCAAGCCCCTCCTCTGCCAGTTCCTTGCTGTGTGTTTTGGGCAGCCCACTTGCCTGCTGTTGGCCTCATCTGTAAAATAAGGGATGCAGTATCTTTCTAATATCCTCTGCTCTGAAGCTGAGCAGTACCCGAAAGAGGGGCCAGATCCCTGCTGGAGGCTCTTTCTAGCACAGAGGGGAGGGAGGGAGCTAGGTTGCTGCCATGCCCCGGTGGGTAGGCCTTGAGGCTATTTGTATGTCTCCTCTCCTGACCCCCACACCCCCATCTAGATTGAACTGAATAACTGTATCTCCATGCTGGTGGCGGGGAATGACCGTGTGCAGACCATCATCACTCAGCTGGAGGACTCCTGTCGAGTGACCAAGGTGAGGGGACAGAATAGTTCTGCCTGGGGGTTTGGAGCTTTCCAGGGCAGCCTGGTCTCTGGGGAAGGCTCACCCATGGGTTGTGGCTAAAGGTTGGGGCCTGGAGCCTGGGGGGTCAAGCAGGAATGGCAGGGGAGGGACTAATCCATTCACCCACTCTCTCAACAAATGCTTCTTAAGCACAGCTGTGTGTCCGGCCCCACCCGAGATGTGGGGGATGGAGGAATGAACCAGACAGACATGGTCCCTGAACTCAGGGAGTGTCCCATCAATAGTTCTCAGTGTTTATTCAGCACAAATCGTTTTCAGAGCACAGTTCTTTCCTATAGACCAACACTTCCCAAACTTTAAAGTGCATGAAAATCACCCTGGGATCATGTTGAAATTCAGGTTCTGATTCAGTCAGTTGGGAATGAGGCATAAGAGCTGCATTTCTAGCCAGTTCCCAGGATTTGCCCAAGCTGCTGGGTCCACGGACCACACTTTGAGTAGTGAGACTATTGAGGGCAGAATGGAACTTTTCTATCCCTGAAAAAAGCTTCCATGATTTTCCATGTTCACCTGGGGTAGGGACCTGGAGATAAGATGAGGGGAAGGGGTCGTCATAATTGCTAGTGGACCAAGAGTCGGGCGAAGGGTAGGAAGGAGGGGAACATTCTGATCACCCATGAGAGGCTCCTGGGTCTGATGAGATGCTATTGTCACACCCATTTTACAGAAAAGAACATAGAAGGGAGCATCAGTTGAGGAGGGTGCTAGGAAACGAGCTGTTTTTCCACCTCTTCTAGGACCAAATGATGCAGAGCTTCCTGAATCCAGTCTTGGTCTTGAAAGGGAGGGAAGAGTGTGATCTGAGACAAACGGGAGGCCCAGGAAACTGAATGGAAGCAAATACATTAATTTGCTGGAAGTCACAAAGCTAAAAGGGAAACACAGCTAAAAGGCAACGGAGAGCTGGGCGCAGTGGCTCATGCCTGTAATCCCAGCATTTTGGGAGGCCAAGGTGGGGGGACCATGAGGTCAGGAGATCGAGACCATCCTGGCCAACATGGTGAAACCCCATCTCTACTAAAAAATACAAAAATTAGCTGGGCATGGTGGCGCACCTGTAATCCCAGCTACTCAGAAGGCTGAGGCAGGAGAATCACTTGAACCTGGGAGGTGGAGGTTGCAGTGGGCCAAGATCGCACCACTGCACTCCAGCCTGGGTGACAGAGCAAGACTCCATCTCAAAAAAAAAAAAAAAGAGAAAGAGAGGGCAGATCCCACATTGGTGACTGTTCCATTGGTCTGAGAAGTGACGCTCCAGTGACCAGCTGAGGTTGGGGGATAGGGGGAGGGTGCAGGAACAAGGAAGAATATGTTGTGTCATGTGACCCTAGAGCCTCTATTTTGGAAGAAGGGGCTAGCTGTTTTTCAAGGCATCAGCCTCCAAATATCACTGGTGTACTAAGTAGCTGTGAGGCCAGATGAGTGTTTTCTTCTTGTTAAGCCTTTGTTTCATCTTCTGTAGTGTGGGGATGTATGTGGTGAGATCTCTTCTAGCTTTAGATTCCTTGCTACTATACCAGGAAAGGAGTGTAGTGGACAGGGAGTAAGGACCCTACAGGATGTGACTGCAAGACTTCCGTCCTCAGGAGAACAGTCACCAAGTAAAGGAAGAGCTGAGCCAGAAATTTGACATGCTGTATGCCATCCTGGATGAGAAGAAAAGTGAGTTGCTGCAGCGGATCACACAGGAGCAGGAGGAAAAGCTCAGCTTCATCGAGGCCCTCATCCAGCAGTACCAGGAACAGCTGGACAAGTCCACAAAGCTGGTGGAGACGGCCATCCAGTCCCTGGACGAGCCTGGGGGAGCCACCTTCCTCTTGGTGAGCAGGACTAGAAGGGTCTGGGTGGGGTCAGTTCAACTCGACAGCTCTAAGGTTCCAGTTATGCTTCTCCACTGACCACCCATGGGCCCTTGGAAAAGTCATTTAAACCTCTGTGAGCCTCAGTTTCCTCATCTGTCAAATGGGCATGTAACACCCCCCACCTTCCTCTTACTGACTTTATGATGATCAAATAAGAGGATATTTATGAAATGACTTTGTAAGCTGCAAAATACAGTGTCCCATCTACGGACTATTAATTGAGCCCCTACTGTAGGCCAGGCACTGAGGTGGAAGACAAGGAGATAAACCAGACACAGCCCTGCCCTCAAAGAGCTTGTTGGGGAGGACAGAAAAGCCTCAGTTATAAGACTTCATAGTTCAGTTCAATAAAAATGTTCTAGGCTTCTGCTGTGGGCCAGGCTTTGTGCTAGACATTGGGTATGAAAAGGTGGTTAGGATTGGGGAGTTCAGGGTTTAGGAGTTTTTGGATTGATACCCCTAGAATCCAAGCTTCCTGTCAAGACAATGGGTCCTAGGGTGATGACCAAGATCTGTACAGACCACAGACAGAGGGAAAAGTTCCAAATTCTGCTCAGTTTGGGGTGGGAAGCAGGTCACAACTGTGTTAGGGAATGGCACCAAATGTCCAGTCATGGTTTTGCTGATTTCCTCGGGTTACCTCTTCTATGGTCCTAATCCTTTGTTCTCTCTCCCCCTGCAGACTGCCAAGCAACTCATCAAAAGGTCAGTGTCTCCCCAGAGGCTATGATCCAGGCCCCTAGTTCACACCAGGACATCGGTCCAGGAAGCCTCGTCCTGGGCATTAGGTCTGCTGGGAGGGTCTAACTCTAGGCTGGCTTCCCTGACCCTTTGCATCCCTGACTTTTTGGTCCACTCATTGTGCTTAAGATTGGAGAGGAAATACTCTATCCCTCCAGGGGAACCTCTGGGTAGAAGCCCTGGGCGTGGGCAAGGCATGTACCCTTTCCTTCCTGCACTGAGCCCCAGAGATCTCATCCTGCCTCTCTCTCTGTCTCCCCCACAGCATTGTGGAAGCTTCCAAGGGCTGCCAGCTGGGGAAGACAGAGCAGGGCTTTGAGAACATGGACTTCTTTACTTTGAATTTAGAGCACATAGCAGATGCCCTGAGAGCCATAGACTTTGGAACAGGTAAAGGTGGTAGTGGTGCCACTTGTCTATTCGCCTGCCTGATCCCTGGAAACCAGCATCCCTCCCACTGAGCCCCATGGGGAGGCAGATACACTAAAAGAGATCCCCAGGTATCAATCAAATTCATATAGCCAACTTCTGGCCGGCTGTGGTGGCTCATTCCTGTAATCCCAGCACTTTGGGAGGCCAAGGTGGGCGGATCACTTGAGGTCAGGAGTTTGAGACTAGCCTGACCAACACAGTGAAACCTCGTCTCTACTAAAAATACAAAAATTAGCCGGACGTGGTGGAACATGCCTGTAATTCCAGCTACTTGGGAAGCTGAGGAAGGAGAATCGGTTGAATCCAGGAAGTAGTGGTTGCAGTGAGCCAAGATCGTGCCACTGCACTCCAGCCTGGGCAACAGAGCCAGCCAGAATCCGTCTCAAAAAAAAAAAAAAAAATCGTATAGTCACCTTCTTAATGAGCCCAGAGCCTAGCACAGTGCCTGGTGCAGAATTCCTGCTTCATAAATTACATATGGATCCATGGCAGGGAAGCCTCTTGGGGCAGTAGAAATAATATGGCCTCTGGAATCAGACAGTCCTGAGTTTAAATCCTGGTCCTGCCATTTGTTTATTATCTGTGTGACCTTTGGCAAGCCCCCCTTCTGCCTGAGTTTTATTTTCTAATTCAAAAAATCAGGTTAAAAGTGAGCCCTCTAATAATGACCAACTCGTGGTACTATTGCAAAAAATCAGATATTGATGCAGAAAGGTCCTGTAGAGTCCTAAAGATGTACTAGTTATTGCCTAAAGGTAGTCTTAGCTTCAGCTTCTTCTTCTTTTTTTTTTTTTTTTAAGACAGAGTCTTGCTCTGTCACCCAGGCTGGAGTACAGTGGCACAGTCTTGGCTTATTGCAAGCTCCGCCTCCCGAGTGTACGTCATTCTCCCGCCTCAGCCTCCCAAATAGTTGGGACTACAGGTGCCCGCCACCTCACCCAGCTAATTTTTTTTGTATTTTTAGTAGAGACAGGGTTTCACCGTAGCCAGGATGGTCTTGATCTCCTGACCTCGTGATTCACCAGCCTCGGCCTCTGAAAGTGCTGGGATTACAGGCGTGAGCCACCATGCCCTGCCAGCTTCGGCTTCTTAATGCTATCACCTATGATACTCAGGCACCTTAATTTATCAACATCGTCTTCATTTCTGTTTATAATTACTCTTCCATAGAGTGCCTATAATAATTGTAACAATGCAATCATAACAATAATAGGGGTGAAAATAATAAAGGAAATGAAGAAACTGAATGGAAGCAAAAATGTTAATTTGCTGAAGGTCGCACAGCTAAAAGGGAAACACAGCTAAAACACAACAGAGAAACAGAGGGCAGATCCTACATTGCCGACTGTTGCCTTGGTCTGAGAGATGGTGCTCCAATGACCAGCTGAGGTTGGGGGACAGGGGGAGGGTAAAGGAACAAGGAAGAACTATAAATGGACTGGCATGGGAAAGAGAAGAGCTTCTTGGCACCTCCTGTGTCGCTCTCTTGCAAACCTTCAGTATCTGGTGCTAAGTCTGTTTTCAGAGCTCCAGATACACCCCATAGGTAAGGACAAAATACATCCCAAAGCAGAGATACCAGCGGGCTTGGGGACATCCACTGCTGTAGATGAGCTGCCTGCTCCACTGTCAGCTTCCCTAAGCTAAGACATTCAAGAGTGGCTCCACTGGGCACAGTGGCTCACACCTGTCATCCCAGCACTTTGGAGCCCGAGGCAGGTGGATCACCTGAGGTCGGGAGTTCCAGACCAGCCTGACCAACACGGAGAAACCTCGTCTCTGCTAAAAGTACAAAATTATCTGGGCGTGGTGGCGCATGCCTGTCATCCCAGCTACTCGGGAGGCTGAGGCAGGAGAATCGCTTGAATCCGGGAGTCAGAGGTTGTGGTGAGCCAAGATCACACCATTGCACTCCAGCCTGGGCAACACGAGTGAAACTCTGTCTCCATCTCCCTGAGCCTCAGTTTCTCCATAAGTAAAATGAAGAGAGTACCAACAGTCACCAGTTACTGAATATTCTGTATGTCCTAGGCACTAAGCTCTTAACGTAAGTTTTATCATTTAACACAACTTTATGGGATAGATTCTGTTACTGTTTCTATTTTGTAGTTGAGGTAACTTAAAGCTCAGAGAGGGTAAGCCACTTGTTCAAGGCCACACAGCTAGCAAATAGCCCATGCAGATTCTACTGAGGGCCATTTGGCTTGCGAAACTCTTGTGAGGATTTTATAACATGGTGCAGATTCAACACTTAGCACACTACTTGGCACATAGTAAGTACTCAGCAACTGCTATAAAGAGTAGTCATTGTGATAATGATTAAACAACAGAACTCCCTGGGTTATATTCTGATCCCAGTTACTTGGCTGGAATTTTGGTTGTCATTTTGGAGATTTGTTCTTTTTTTTTTTTTGAGATGGAGTCTCGCTCTGTCGCCCAAGCTGGAGTGCAGTGGTATGATCTTGGCTCACTGCAAGCTCCACCTCCAGGGTTCACGCCATTCTCCTGCCTCAACCTCCCTAGTAGCTGGGACTACCGGCGCCCGCCACCACGCCCGGCTGATTTTCTATATTTTTAGTAGAGACGGAGTTTCACCATGTTAGCCAGGATGGTCTTGATCTCCTGACCTCGTGATCCGCCCGCCTCGGCCTCCCAAAGTGCTGGGATTAGAGGCGTGAGCTACTGTGCCTGGCCCTTTTTTTTTTTTTTTTGAGAGGGAATTTTGCTCTTGTAGCCCAGGCTGGAGTGCAATGGCATGATCTTGGCTCACTGCAACCTCCGCCTGCTGGGTTCAAGCGATTCTCCTGCCTCAGTCTCCCAAGTAGCTAAAATTACAGGTGCACACCATCACGCCCGGCTAACTTTTCGTATTTTTAGTAGAGACAGGGTTTTACTATGTTGGCCAGGCTGGCCTTGAACTCCTGACCTCAGGTGATCCGACTGCCTCAGCCTCCCAAAGTGCTAGGATTACAAGCGCGAGCGACCAAGCCTGGCCTGGAGATACACTTGACAAATGTTCTGACTCTGTGGTGGCCCCTTCAGGGCCCCAAAAGATTAAGGAGGTGGCTTGGGAGAGGAGCGGGGAAGGGAGATATTCCCTGTTAAAGCTTGACGGTGACATCTCAGGATGAAAAAGTGGGGACATGAGTTGCAGCTCAGTCACTGTCCCTCTGGTGCTCAGCTTCAGGGAGCAGAAGTGGCTCCAGAAGTGCTTCCCCGTCATGTCCACCCCTCCCCTCCACAGGCTAAGGAATGAGGAAAATAGGACAGAGGCTGCTGAACAAGCAGATCTCATAGGCTGAGTAGCTTCCTTCAAGACAAGGACTCTGATCCCTGAGGATCGAGGAGGATTTTTTCTCCCCAGGCGATGTTTATCTGCCTACCTGAGAGATGTGCAGAAGCACAGAGTATGCTTCCTCAGAGCCCCCTCTCTGGTCACAGGCAGGGCGGGTGATAGAAGCTGCTGTTGCTGGAGCAAGGAAGTGTCTTGAGCCCGGCTCCCTGGGATGGAGTACGGGGGATTACAGGAGTAGGGCCTCTGTGCAGCGTGGGTCTGGCAAGCCCATCACCTCCCAGACCACTGCCATCTGTGTGTGGCCGTTTGACCCAACTGGGCACAGGAAGGGGTTTAGACGGTGCTTTCTCTTGCCTGGTTCTTCTTCAAGTAACTCTTCAAGGAACTGGCCCCATCCTAACACAAGTGTTTTTTGTCACAGATGAGGAAGAGGAAGAATTCATTGAAGAAGAAGATCAGGAAGAGGAAGACTCCACAGAAGGGAAGGAGGAAGGTAAGAAATTAATCTACCTCCATTCCTTCATTCCTTCACTCATTCCACAACAACCCGAGGTACCTACTATATGCAAAGCACTGTGTTAGACATTGGGAATGACGCTGAGACCTGTTCCCAGCATATGCTTTAAACCTATTGAGGGTAAAGTCCTGTTCTCTTTACCCTTAGAGAAGAAAAAAATCCCCAAACGATTCATAATAAAATGCTCCCATTTCACATCTAAATGATCTTCTTAAATGGAAAGCAATATGGCACAGCAGAGGGAAACGATGGGGGCTAGGCTGGGCCCATTGAGGAGCTTTGTTTGGCCAGCACTGTGTTTAAATAAAAAAAAAAAATTACTTGTTTGCCAGGCACGGTGGCTCACGCCTATAATCCCAGCACTTTGGGAGGCCAAGGCCAGCCTGGCCAACATGGTGAAACCCTGTCTCTACTAAAAATACAAAAAATTAGCCGAATTTGGTGGCAGGAGCCTGTAGTCCCAGTTACTCAGGAGGCCGAGGCAGGAGAATCGCTTGAACCTGGGAGGTGGAAGTGGCAGTGAGCCTAGATCGTGTTACTGCACTCTAGCCTGAGTGACAAGAATGAGACTCCATCTCAAAAAAAAAAAAAAAAAAAAATTACTGGCTGGATGTGGTGGCACATGCCTATAATCCCAGCACTTTGGGAGGCTGAGGCGGGAGGATCACTTGAGACCTGGAGTTTGGGACCAGCCTGGTCAACACAGCAAGTCCTCATCTTTACAAAAAAAAAATAAAAATTAGCCAGGCATGGTGGTACATATCTGTAGTCCTAGCTACTCAGAAGGCTGAGACTGGAGGATCACTTGAGCTCAGGAGGTAGAGGCTGCAGTGAGCTATGATTGCGCCACTGCACTCCCCCCTGGGCACCAGAGAAGGACACTACACTGTCTCTTAAAAAGAAAAAGTTAATTGCTAACATTTTTAAAATTAGGTTTCTTTTTTAAGGGTTAAGAAAAAGGAGATTTCAACTAAGAATCTGCATTTTCACCTTCTTGTGAAAGTTTAGAAAAAGCAAACAATGCTGGACTTGAACTTCCCTGTAGTTCCAGAGTGCTGGCTCTGGGCAGTGGCTCTCCCCTTTAAAGGGGACGTGCTGGCGCGGTGGCTCACGCCTGTAATCCTAGCACTTTGGGAGGCCTAGCCGGGCGGATCACCTGAGGTCAGGAGTTCGACACCAGCCTGGCCAACATGGTGAAACCCCGTCACTACTAAAAATACAAAAATTAGCCAGGCATGGTGATGGGCACCTGTAATCCCAGCTACTTGGGAGCCTGAGGCAGGAGAATCACTTGAACCCCAGGGGGGCGGAGCTTGCAGTGAGCCGAGATCACACCACTTCACTCCAGCCTGGGTGAAACAGTGAAACTCCGTCTCAAAAAAAAAAAAGAAAGAAAGAAAGAAAAGAAAAGAAAATGGGACATGCCCTTGCCAGTTTGCCCAGCCCCACCACCATCAATTCTGCTTGCTTCACTCATTCATGTTTTCTGCTAGCCCCTTGTAGGCATCTGAGTTTGCCAGCCTGGCAGAGTTTGATTAGGACCCTGGGTTCTGAATTGCAGCAGTTTACAATTTCTCTGAGTCTTGGGCTACTCATCTGTGTATGGGGGCATAACAGTACTGACATCAAAAGGTTGTAGTTGGGAGTAAATAAGATAATCATTTAGCACAGTATCTGGTGCATAGGAAGGACGTTTGCTAATAAGCACATGCTTGCAAATGTTATTTTTCAAACCACAGGTACTGAAACTAAATTCCAATCCAGTTGAAAACTATAGGGTAGACTTTTGGAGTTTTGTGCTGATGTAAAATCCATAATGTTTGGGCAGCTAAATTCTATTTTGGTTTTAAAAGGAAGAGACCAGGAGGAATTGGAATTTGATGTTTTATTCAAACTCCTGTTTGAATAAACAATAGCTTGGTAAGCCTTGGATCCTCCTGAGTCCCTGTCTCACCACGTGCCTCTGTGTCTTTTTCTTCATTTCAGGACAGTAAGGAGCTGGATGAATGAGAGACCCCCCAGATGCAGAGAAACTGGAGAGGGTGGGGAGGGGCCCAGCGATCTTGGTGACAGGCCCAGGTGGGAGGGGTCGGGGCCCCTGGAGGGGCAATGGGGAGGTAATGTCTTCTCTCTGCTCAGAGAGCAGGGACTAGGGTAGGACCCTCACTGCTGCGTCCAGCAGACACTGAACCAGAATTGAAAATGTGCTTGAAACAATCACACAGGACACTTTTCTACACTGGTGCAAAATGGAATATTTTGTACATTTTTAAAATGTGATTTTTGTATATACTTGTATATGTATGCCAATTTGGTGCTTTTTGTAAAGGAACTTTTGTATAATAATGCCTGGTCGTTGGGTGACCTGCGATTGTCAGAAAGAGGGGAAGGAAGCCAGGGTGATACAGCTGCCCACTTCCTTTCCTGAGCGGGAGGACGGGGTAGCACTCACAGGGACGATGTGCTGTATTTCAGTGCCTAGCCCAGACATAAGGGGTGGTAACTGAGTTTGTGTTATATGTTGTTTTAATAAATGCACAATGCTCTCTTCCTGTTCTTCAAAGGAGCCGGGGTTTCATTTCAGGTTTTTTTCCTGGAGATGAGGGTTGGGTGTGAATGAAAAGGACCCCCAGTAGGAGGCAATGTCAGGGCTAGGCTTAGGTCCCAGTAAAGGAGTTCTTGATACCACCATTTCCCAATGTGGACTCCATGGAAAGCCAGCCCTGAGCTGGTCCTTCAAGAACAGGTTCAACGTGTTGTTGCTCTGGTTCTCCAGAAAACAGATCCTGAGGCAAATTTTAAATGCTTTAGTTGCAGGTTATAGGGATTTCCCCGTGCCCACTGAAGGTTCACTGAAAATCATCAACCCGAGGCAGAATAAGGCTGGGCAGGTGCAGTGGCTCATGCCTGTAATCCCAGCACTTTGGGCGGCCGAGAGGGTGGATCACCTGAGGTCAGGAGTTCCAGACCAGCCTGGCCAACATGGTGAAGCCCTATCTCTATTAAAAATACAAAATTAGTTGGGCATGGTGGCGCATGCCTGTAATCCCAGCTACTTGGGAGGCTGAGGCATGAGAATCGCTTGAACTCAGGAGGCAGAGGTTGCAGTGAGCCAAGATTGCACCACTGCACTCCAGCCTGGGCAACAAGAGCGAAACTCCATCTCAAAAAATAAAAATAAATAATAAAAAAAAAAGGCAGATTAATAGGAGAAAAGGCACACGAATACACAAATTTATTTGACTGTGGTTTTATGAGATACAGGAGCCTTCAGAATGAAGACCCAAAGATACAGGAGAAACTGTCCATTTTTAGGCTTCAGTTCAACAAAGTATGGACGGCGTGTAAAAATACGATTGGATAAAAGAGCCTGATCTAATGCTGATGGACTGAGTGGGGAACCCAGCGAGGCCTGTCTGTCGAGATTCTTTTTGGTCTCTCTGTGCAGCATTCCTTCCTTCCTCATATGGGGCAGGATTCTCTCTGGATGGGGGTCTTCTGACCTGCAATCAGACAAAGGTCAAATAATTTCCTATGGCTAGTTTTACACAGAAAGAAAGGGGAAAATTAGAATAATATTTTTAGGTTTTATGGTAAGTTTTTGGGGAAGAGGGATTGTAGTTTTTACGGCTAGCCTTGGGGAAGAATAAGGAAGCAGAGACAGGAGGGCAGGAGAAGGTCAGAGAGAAATGTTTGCTTCCCAGGGAGGCCTTCATTTTGAGGTATTGTTTTTTGAGACCCTACGAGGTACACTCCCAAGGCCAACAGAGGGAAGGAAAATGGAAGCGAGGCAGGCAAGGAGCGAAGCAAGTACAAGGCATTGCGTGACTGAGCTGGCCACAGCTTCACCAAAGACTGGGCTGGCTGCTTAGTCATGTGAGATGTTTCCAGCAGGCCATAAAGAACAGAACATGATTCAAAGTCCTTCATCTGAGAGAAGAAAAGAAAGAAATGTGTCTGCTGGCTCCTTCCTGTCTCCTGCCTCCCATACTGTTCATTCCACCTTGACTTCAGGTGGCGCAGCTGCAGGGGGAGCAAGGTCACCTGCCACACTCTGTGGTACTTCAGTTGAGTCTGGAAGTGGTGGGAGGTGCCAGGGCCTCCATGGTCCAGTTGGGTTGGACAAGGGTGGGGGAGCTGCTGCTGTCTCCACCTCAGTGAACACAATGGGGGCCAGGCTGGTGCCCAGACTCGTGCCAGGAAAGGCCAAGTCAGTCACCAGCAGTAGAGGATGAATTCATGACCATGGCCCAGTAGCATCCAGGATCTCCATGAGCAAGAAGTCGAGGGCCTGGAGGGAGGCAAGGCTGAGCAAATCCGAGGCAGCACATTCACTGGGGCTGATATACCAGGAACTTATAACTCTGAGGAGCATTGCAGAGCCTGTTCCCCCTTTTAGACATTCAGATCACAGTAGCAAGTTAGGGGGTCTGAGTTGTCCCACCGTAAAGAAAGCAAATTAACTTTAGACAAGGAATATCAAGTTCATGGTGCTTGGAATGCTGCCTGACCCTAAGTCTCTCATTTTGTGTGTGTGGACTGAATTTCCCGAACTAGAGTTATGTGGAACTTGCTTTAGGACAGTGCTCAAAAACCCTCACAACCTCTGCCCATTTTCACTTCTGGGAGTTTTTCTAAGACTAATTTGGTTCCTAACTTTAAATTTCAAGGAATCAGATTTTGCTCTCATTTCCAGTCCTTTCTCAAGTTCTGAAGCGTTTTGTTTTAGTTTTCAAAACACGGCATAATACACACATACACCCTTACAAGTGCACCAAACTAGTTGTGGAGTTTAATAACCTATTGTAAAACAAAACCCTGTGTTACTACCACTCAGGTAAAAAAAAAAAAAAAAAAAAAAAGAACATTGCCAGCCCTCAGAAGCCCTCCATGTGCCCCTCTACCACATCACAGCCCCTCTTTCTGATTGGGGTAGCAGAAAGAGGAGCGGTCAAATTTTTTTTTTTTTTTTTTTTGGACAATCACATACTTGTTTTTCTTTATGGTTTGGTCTCCTAAAGTATCCTCCCATAGAAAACTGAAGGGATTTGAGTCCAGAAGGAGAAATTTGAGGCTAGAAAGACAGAAGCTTACATCACCCTGAAATCACAATAATCAGTGTTATAATGTGTGAACATTCTGCGACTTCTCCAGGCTACCGACCATGTAAGCAACAAGCATTTCAGTCCCATATCTTGTCACTTATGGAAAAGAAGAGAGAGCAGTTGAGACTTTGGGTAATCAGTTAAAGATTAAATTCCAGGAAGCTACCTGTTAATTGCAACTAAGGGGATCTTTCCTTTGCCATAGAAAGGGCTCTTCCTGTACTTGCAAACTAGAACACTTAAGATGGTATGAAGGGTTCTTGATCAACATGCTTCCTTTAAAATCATGCTGCAAGACAGGAAAGCTGGCTTCAAGGGGGTTCTTCCAATGAATCTTGAATACAGTTCCATGGGCTGCTACATCAGAATCGCCAGGAAAGGTTTATTTTTCTCCAATTCTGAAACTTTTTTCTTTCTTTCTTTCTTTTTTTTTTTTTAGACAGAGTTTCACTCTCAGTTGCCCAGGCTGGAGTGCAACGGCATGATCTCAGCTCACTGCAACCTCTGCCTTCCGGGTTCAAGTGATTCTTCTGCCCCAGACTTCTGAGTAGCTGGGAGTACAAGTGCCTGCCACCATGCCCAGCTAATTTTTTTATTTTTAGTAGAGACGAGGTTTTGCCATGTTGACCAGGCTGGTCTCGAACTCTTGACCTCAGGTGATCCGCCCGCCTCAGCCTCCCAAAGTGCTGGGATGATAGGCATGAGCCACTGCACCCAGCCAACATTTTTTAAATACTGAAAAGTAGAGGGAATAGTTATAGTGTACCCCCATTTACTCATCACTCAGTTTCAACAGCTGGTGACATATTTGTTTCTTCTCTACCAGTACCCGTACTCTCCCCGCTGGGATTATTTTAAGGCAAATCCCAGAGACATTTTATCCCTAAATACTTTAGATAAAGGTTTTCCTTTTAAAAAATCATAACCTCAGGACCAGCCTGGCCAACATGGTGAAACCCTGTCTGTACTAAAAATACAAAAATTAGCTGGGCATGGTGGTGGGTACCTGTAATCCCAGCTACTCAGGAAGCTGAGGCAGGAGAATCACTCGAACCAGGGAAGCAGAGATTGCAGTGAGCTGAGATTGCAGTCGCGCTTGGGCCACAGAAACGAACTCTGTCTCAAAACAAAACAACAAAAAAATCATAAACACTATACATAAAAATGAACAATAATGCCATAATAGCACCAAATGAGAATTTTAAAAATACAGATTCCCAGGCCCTGCCCCAGACCTACTGAATCTTGGAAATATTGAGGCTCCACACCCAGAGATTCTGGTTCGGTTGGTCTGATGCAGGGACCTGTAACCTGCATTGTAACACCTTCTCCAGGTAATGCTGAGCCTGCAGATGCTCAGAGTAAACCTGAAGAAAACCAGGGTGTCTGAGGCTTTCCAGAAGAAAACCAGAGTCCAGAGAAGGCAGAGAGGCACTCAGTGCAGACCCAAGCAGAACAGGTGCACCTCCCTCCTGGCACCCTATCTCCTACAAGAGGAGAGACTGAAAGAGCGCCTTCCTGTCCCCAGTGGTGTGGGCAAGAGGCTTGCGCCTCTGACTCTTGTCTCTGTGAAAGACCATACCCACCAAGCCTATGGTCCTGGCGACAAGGGTGCCGGGGATGACGAACAGACAGGAAGGTCTCCAGCAGCTTCTTTCTACACAGAGGGCACCTGTCAGAGGCCAGTGTGGGGGCCACAGGCTCCCCAATCCCCAAGAACCGCCAGGGAAGGAGGCTGCTTCAAGTGGGTAGGGCACCAAGCTGGCCAGGAAGGACAGGGCTTCTCCCAGCGGTACCAACACGGTGGCACCTTCTGCCTGCATCTCCCAGGCTTGCTTGTCGGGCTTCCTGGGGCTCCCAGGAGCCGCTGCGGGGAAGGGGTGGCAGCAGTGGCGGTGGTCGGCTCTGCCCCGATGGTGACTGCCGATGACACTCTTCTCTGTGCGGGTGGAGACAAAGTCGGCCACTCCAGATTCTCCTGCGCGCAGGAGAGGAGGAGCTGGCGCTGCTTCAGTGGCGAGGATGGGTTCATCAGTCCCAGCCGGTCCCAGGGAGAGACACTGCCCCAGCCTGAGGGCCGCACAGCCCACCCCAGGACCCTCCTAGCAGGAGGGCGGGAATGCAAGCCGACCTCGGAGAGGGGGGGGAGTCTCCAGCCTGAGAGGGAACATGATCAAGCCCAGGACAGCCGCCAGTCAGAGGGGGCAGGCGCGGCCCCAGTAGCCTCTGGAGACCCTCTTCCGAAGCAAGGAGCCACATTCCTGCCGTCGGGACCACCAAAGCGGATTTCTACAAACCAAAGACTAGAACTTTTTGGTGGGGACGCGGCCCACCCAGCGCGGGAGAGGGGGCGCAACTGTCACCCCGTCCTCACTCAGCAACACCGGGCGCCGCGCCGGGCTAAGGCTGGTAGGCTTCTCGCGGCCGGCAGGTGAGCTCCGCAGGCCCCACGGGCGCAGGCACAGGTGCGCGGGGCCACAGCCGGGCGCCCTTTGCAGCCAGCCACCGCCCCCTCTTCCCCGCGGGCTTTTGCACACGACGCGCCGAGAGCCGCTTCACACGGGTTGGCGAGGGCCGGATAAAGCCGGCGGCCGCGGGGCACAGCGGCGGACCCGAGACACTGGAGCGCTTGGCGCGCGGAGCCAGAGCCGGAGCTGCAATAGCAGCGGGAGCTGGGGGACCTCAGGGGCCGCAGGAGCCGGGCCGGAGTGAGCGCAGCTCGCGGGGCCCTCCAGACAGGTGCGTGAGAGCCACCTGGAGTCCCGCGAGCAACTTCCAGAGCGCACTCGGCGGGGCGGCCGCGCGGCTGCCGGGACCCGGCGCGGGCCTGCATGGACGCCACGGAGAAGCAGCACCTGTTGGACGCCAGGCCCGCAGTCCGGTAAGGCGAGAGCCTGGGGAGAGGCGGGAATTTGGGCGGCAGCCGACGCACCTCCGCGTTTGCCATCCTAGCAGTGGTTGGTTTTGGCGGCGGCTTGAGCTGGTACCACGCAGGAGCAGGGGAGTGAGGTGAGGGAAAGAAGATAATGAGCTGTGGCCCAAGGACCGTCTCTCCGTCGGTCCTCGCACAGATCTTGACCCCTGCCGGCGGGGGGCCTGGGGTCGGGGGAGTGGCGGTTCCCGCCTGAGTCCTGCCCTGCCCAGTACTTTGCCCCAGGCAGCCCCGCCCTAGGGAGGCCCTGTGTCCCAAGTGCGCTGAAGGGGGCCTGCTCTTCTCCCAGAGCCGGCGCTCTGTTCCTTCCCCGCGCTCCACTGGACACTGGGAGAGTCCTTAGCTATTTTTCCCAGTGGACACAAGGCCTCACAGAGAAATGGGACTAGAGTCGGCCCTCCTTACCCCATCTCAGAGCTGAGCGTTCCCTCTCTTTCTCTCTGGTCAGGTCATACATGGGATCTCTGTGGCAGGACGGGGCTAGCTGGATCCCTCTGCCCCGACCTGGCCTGGACTTGCAGGCCATTGAGCTGGCTGCCCAGAGCAACCATTACTGCCATGCTCAGAAGGGTCCCGACAGTCACTGTGACCCCAAGAAGGGGCAGGCCCGGCGCCAGCTCTATGTAGCCTCTGCCATCTGCCTGTTTTTCATGATCGGAGAAGTCGTTGGTAAGCACTTTTGGGCTAATTAAATGAAGTTAGCACATGGATAGACTATTCCCAGCAATACTGACACTAAAAGCCCCACTTACCGAACACACACTGCGCTAAGCCTTTATATACACATTATCTGATTCAGGTCTAACAACAACCTGTGTTATCACATAGGTGACGTTATTCTCCTTGTTTTACAGATGATGAAACTGAGGCATGTTCAGGTTAAGTAACTTGCCAAAGATCACGCACAACTAGTAGCTAAGGGAAAGCCTGAATTCCTAGAAGGAAAGAGCATTTACTGAGTATCTACCATGCTTTCCAGTCCCTATTTGAACTTGATGTGCACATTCACCCTCTAAGTAGATATTGGTGGCCCATTTCATAGAGAGTGGAAGTTGAGGCTCAGAGAGAGTAGGTCACTTGTCATGGTGTACAGCTCATGGGTGGAGAGATCTTGAGGCCAGAATGTCTTCTTCCAGAGCCTGTGGTCTCCCTGCTGCACACAGTCTTGGGAGCCAGCTCTCTGGGGAGCTGATAAAGACCCTGTACCCTGCAGGTGGGTACCTGGCACACAGCTTGGCTGTCATGACCGATGCAGCGCACCTGCTCACTGACTTTGCCAGCATGCTCATCAGCCTCTTCTCCCTCTGGATGTCCTCCCGGCCAGCCACCAAGACCATGAACTTCGGCTGGCAGAGAGCTGGTGAGGGTCGCGGCTCGGCTGGAGATGGGGTTGAGAAAGAGGGTGGGTTAGAACAAGGGTTCTTAGGTGGCTGTAGTGGGTGGATCCCCCATTCCTCCCCTGAGTGAGGTCAGGAGGGTGATCTGAATGGGGCAAGAGGATGTCAACCATGGCCTCTGTCCTCTGGGAAATCGTAGTCTGATGGGGAAGCCCTGGTCCCAGTCATCCAGGAGCTCTCAGTCTGCGGGGAAGCAAAGTTCACCTTCCTAAGAAGTGCAGTAGCCAAGCTTCAAGAACAAATGACAATGGCATTAACACTGCACATAACTCTGTGGATCAGCTCTGGGGGAAGGGGAAGGCTGGCAAAGGCTGCTGGAAGGTATAGGATTTAACCTCTCTTCCGTTCACCCTGGGCTGCATCGTCACCTTCCTCTTTGTGGGAGATGGCCCAGCCTCTCTTCCCCAGAAGCCTCGGTTTACTAGCTGAACAAAAGGCATACATTTTAATAAGTCAGCTTCTTTACATGTACAACAAAAAAGTGGACCCAGATAATGACTTATTAGTTCCTTCTAGCTCTGACATTCCCACATATATGAGGGGTGGGGTAAGGGGCAGCCATGCTGGCCATAGCTTCAGCAGAGCCCAGTGGGACCCAGGCCCTGACTTTGTGTGGGGGGTGGGTGGGGAGGATCCTGAAGGAAGGGGGAAGCCTCCTTAGCCTCAGGCCCATGCCAAGGTGGGTGTTGGGGTTGGGTTCTTCCTCAGAGATCTTGGGAGCGCTGGTCTCTGTACTGTCCATCTGGGTCGTGACTGGGGTACTGGTGTACCTGGCTGTGGAGCGGCTGATCTCTGGGGACTATGAGATCGAAGGGGGGACCATGCTGATCACGTCGGGCTGTGCTGTGGCTGTGAACGTCATGTGAGTGGGGCCCTGGTTCCCCTCGTCTCCCCTCCTCCTCTCGCCTCTCACACCCACACCTATGTCTGCTTTGCAGAAAGAGACCATGCCACTTTCCAGCATCAGCCACAGGGACAGAACTTCCCTAATGGTCTGAGCTCTAGCACCTGGAACACCTGGGTCCTACCTTAGGCCTGGGCCAGGAACACTGAGAACTGTAAATCTGAGTCTTCATCCACTCTACCCACTCCCTAATACATGTCAGGGACTAACCTTGGTGGCTTCATACCTCAAATGGGGCAGGAAGAGGCCAGTTGTTGCAGGAGTAGCTGTCCCTAGGGGCAGAACCCACGTCTGAAATTGGTCTCAGAGACAATGGGTGTCTCTTTCGGGCTGTTTCTCTCCTTTGTTCAGAAGCCTCAGTTTCCCCATCCGTGACATGATGGAGTGAACTTACAGTGACCTCCATAATGCCCTCCTGGTCTGAGATTTGGCTTCGTGGCATTGTTGTGCCCAGACTCAGCCTGGTTTGGCACTGAGCCCTATCTCCCATGGCTCTCTGAACCAAGGCCACGTGGGTTGGACTTCTCACATGGCCAAAGAGATCACAAGGTTTGGGGGCTTGAGATTTTTGCCCTATGAATTGGCTAGTCCTAATAGGTGACTTCCATCTGCGACCTCAGTGAGCCCTTGGCTTTGTCTCCGCTTCATAGAATGGGGTTGACGCTTCACCAGTCTGGCCATGGACATAGCCATGGCACCACCAACCAGCAGGAGGAGAACCCCAGTGTCCGAGCTGCCTTCATCCATGTGATCGGGGACTTTCTGCAGAGCATGGGCGTCCTAGTGGCAGCCTATATTTTATACTTCAAGGTCAGAGCTGGGACACAAAGTGGTGGGGGTGTCAGGGGAGTGTAGACCACCTGAATATCCTCTCTACAGGGGGTCCTTTTCAGGACTCCCTCCCAGTTCTGGGGAAAAGGGTGGGGAAAGGAAAGGAACATTTATCCAATACTTACCAAGTGTCAGCACTTCTGATCTTCACAAGAACCTGAAGGGCGAGGTGGTAGTGTTTTCTGTAGCTCAGAAAGGTTCAGTGACTTGCACAGTGTCACACAGCTGGTAAGGTGTAGAGGCAGATTCAAACCTACGACTGTGTGTTGTCAAACCCTGGGCAATGCCTATCACATAGAGGCAGGGAGCTGTAGTGGAAAGAGGCAGGCATTTGCTCTGAAGCTTGGCTCTCCTCCTTGCTAGCCATGTCTTGTTGGGTGAGGTGCTGGCTCTAATGGAGCCTCAGTTTCCCCATCTGTCAAATGGGGATGGATGGCAGATCAGATGGTATCTAAGATGCCTTTTTGCTCTGTCCATGTCTCAGCTTCTTGAGAAGGAGGGGTGGGAAGGGACTGCCTTATCCTGAACTGTGGTCTGTCCTGTCTGCTCTTGCAGATGTGAAATAAAGAGCAGAAAATTGGGAGGCAGGGCCAGGGTGAGGCTCATGCCCACCCAGCAGAGAGAGCCCCTCTCTCCAACAGTGCTGGGTGGGAGGGGAGAAGGGAAGCTGAGGTGTTAGATGGTTAACCGAGGTCTGTCTTCCTCTCTTCCTGCAGCCGGAATACAAGTATGTAGACCCCATCTGCACCTTCTTCTTCTCCATCCTGGTCCTGGGGACAACCTTGACCATCCTGAGAGATGTGATCCTCGTGTTGATGGAAGGTAACCTGGGCTTTGTGGCTCCCTTTTTGCTCTTGGCTTTCAAGCTCTAGATCAGCTCAGATAAGGTATGTGTGTGTCTGCGGCATCCCAGCACATGGCAGGGAGCCGGGATCTGGAGCCCCGGCATCGGCTGGAAAACCTCCCGGGGCCCCCAGGCTGATCTTCACGTAGAGCCTGGGCTTTTAGGTGTGGCAGTTCCCGGAACCGCACCCCAGCCCCAGTCTTCCCTTCCCCCTACCCCCAGGGGTGCCTCCTCTGCCTAGTCGGGTGGCTTCTGGGGGACATCTGTAGCATCTGGAGCTCTCCAGCTCTCCCCTATACATTTCCCAGGCTCTGGCTGCCTTCTCTCAGGGAGAGGGAGTGAGGATTATGCTTCCCATTGCACAGAGGGGCAGACTGAGGCTCAGAGAAGGACGGTCAGCGTTGGACAAAGTTACTTAATCCATTGCAGCTCAGGCCTTTCCTACATCTCAGGGACCAAACAATGCCATACCCTGCGGGGGACATGGCTGTATTTTGTGGGGTTGGAGAACAGTCAGTGGTGGAGAATGATCTGGTCTGCCCTGAATTACCTTTTTTTTTGAAACAGGATCTTGCTCTGTCATCCAAGCTAGAGTGCAGCGGCGTCACCATGGCTCACTGCAGCCTCGACCTCCCGGCTCAAGTAATCCTCCTGCCTCAGCCTCCCAAGTAGCTGGGACCACAGGCGCATGCCACCATGTCTGGCTAACTTTTCAATGTTTTGTAGAGATGGGGGTCTCACCATGTTTCCCCGGCTGGTCTCAAACTTTTGGGCTCAAGCAATCGTCTCACTTTGGTCTCCCAAAGTGCTGGGGTTACAGATGTGAGCCACCACACCTGGCCCTGCACCTTGGCTTCCTTATGCTCTAGGCCTGGGGTCTTGGGCCAGGGTCACAGGCCTCCGCGTGGTCAGGGTCAGTCTGGAATGGAGTAGGATGCTGGCCTGGGCTTAGCAGTATTTAGCTGCGGGTCAGAGCTTTTTCTCCAAGAATATGCTAACCCAGATAAAAGCGATCATGATGAAGATGATGATTGTGCCCTGGGTGGGTCCAAGGATTCTCAGGATCTGTTCTTTCCTTCTTTCCATTCAAAAATATATTCATTGGCCAGGTGCGATGGCTCACACCTGTAATCCCAGCACTTTGGGAGGCCGAGGCAGGCAGATTACCTGAGGTCAGGAGTTCGAGACAAGACTGGTTAACACAGTGAAACCCTGTCTCTACTAAAAATACAAAAATTAGCCAGGCGTGGCAGCATGCGCCTGTAGTCCCAGCTACTCAGGAGGCTGAGGCAGGAGAATTGCTTGAACCTGGGAGAGGGAGGTTGCAGTGAGGCGAGATCGAGACACAGCACTCCAACCTGAGTGACACAGCAAGACTCTGTCTAAAAACAAACCAAAAAATATATTTATTGAGCACCTACTATGGAGTAGGTGCTGTTTTAGGCACCAAGGATACTGTGGTAAACAAAGGAGACTGTCCTGCCCTCATGGAGTGTCCATTTTAGAGGGAGAGACTGACAATAAGTAGATTCATAAATAATTTCAGTGTTAAGAGTGGAGAGGAAATATAACAAAGTGATAGGGCGGAGAGCTTGGGAAGTGAAAGCAGCCTCAGACCTGCAGGCCAAGGAGGTCTTCTTTGAGGGGATGACGCCTGAGGACCAGGAGCTAGCCCCGCACCAATGGGCAGGCGTGGGAGGGGCAGTTTCCTTTAGCCCCTGTGCTTGCCATCCTCAGGGACCCCCAAGGGCGTGGACTTCACAGCTGTGCGGGATCTGCTGCTGTCGGTGGAGGGGGTGGAAGCCCTGCACAGCCTGCATATCTGGGCACTGACCGTGGCCCAGCCTGTTCTGTCTGTCCACATTGCCATTGGTGAGTGCTCGGGACACTCAGGGTGGGGTGGGAGACAGGCAGCCAAAGGCCTGGTGCCATCTCCACAGGGTCCAGGTGATCCAGATGCTCACAGTGCCCATGCATCAAGCCCAGCCTCATGCTGAGTACGTGATATGCATTATTCCATCTGATCATCACAATCTCATTTATCCATGAAGAAACTGAGGCTGGCATTGGGTGGTAAAGTTACTGGCCCAGGCTTTTACAGCTAGTATATGGCAGTAGGTGGCAGATTCCTGGCCTTAAGGCCAGTGCTTTACCAGCTCTTTCAGGCATGAGCCAGGTCTGGTCTGGGAGGCTACCTGGCAGAGGAGTAGAATCTGGGGGCTTCTCCATGTTCATGGTCCCCCATCCTGTTCTGCTGGGGATGGGGATAAGATTCAGGCTCCTGATGGTTCCAAAGGGCCAGAATAAATGATTTCCCCAGCTGTGTCCTCTCGGTCCCCAGCTCAGAATACAGACGCCCAGGCTGTGCTGAAGACAGCCAGCAGCCGCCTCCAAGGGAAGTTCCACTTCCACACCGTGACCATCCAGATCGAGGACTACTCGGAGGACATGAAGGACTGTCAGGCATGCCAGGGCCCCTTGGACTGACTGCCCAGCCAGGCACCAACTGGGGCATGGACAGGAACTGCAGGTGGCTGGACTGAGTGTTCCCCAGGCCCAGCCAGGACTTTGCCTGCCCCAGCTGTGTTATAAACCGGGTCCCCCTCCTGACCTCTGCTCCATGTTCAGTGCAGAGCCTTGTCCTACTCCAGGAATGGAGCTCTTCCCGGCCTCCCCATTTGACTACAGCCAGCGCCAGGGTGGGGACGCAGCGGGTATAAAGCTAGTGTGACCCTGCTCTTCCAGCTCCTGGGCCAGCTCTGGAAGGGCTGTATTTGGGCCTAATCCTAAGCAAATGTCGTTCTACCACTCGCAGGGGCAAAGGTGGTGAGCCATGGGACGTCCAAAGGGAGGCTGGCCCCAGCGCACCCGTACTGCCTGCCTCATCCCCCATTCTCAGCCTGGCTGGCCTTTGCCTTTATGAATCTGAGCCCCTCCCTCTGCCTATAGCAATAGGCACAGGGATGAGGACCCTCACACTCTCATTTGAGCCTCCCTGAGGCGGGGAGCCAGGAGGCACCTGAGGCCTGTCTGTGCCTCAGTCACTTCAGCTGTGAGCCAAATGTTCCCTTTCCTGGAGGGGAGAGGCCTCTTACTAGGTAAGGGACAGGTTTCCTCTTTCTTATTCCCTCAGCTGTGCCAACACAAAACACAACCTTGGCACAGGTGGTGGGTGGAGGGTAGAGAGATTTCAGTTTGGGTTCTGCGCTAACAGCCTCCAAGCCCCTTGGCACTTTTGTTGCCCTGAGAGTGTCCCAGGGGATTCAGAGTCTCCAGCAAGATATGGCTGGGCCAGCTCTGCTGCCTACCTGGCCTGACCCAGTCGGAGCCTGGCGTGGTGGAGGGAGAGGGAGAGAAGCGGGGCTGCGCTGGCCCAGAGGCCAGCTAGGAGGGAGACCGTGGCTTCCTGGGGCTTGTGTGTGAAGATTCCTGACTTAGGGGTGGCTTGTGTTTACAAGATGCAAGAGGGGAGATCTGTCCCCGACTCATGGAGACAACATGCCCAGTTATCAGAGTCCTGTGTCACAAGGTCTGTCTCTGCCATTGTAAGCAAGTGCCTTGGGCGAGTTGGCCTCTGCCCCAGTCTCATCTGTAGACCGACAGGGTTGATGCCTCCCTCACGGGGTTGAGAACAAGAGCCAGTTGGCCAAGTACCTGTGGTTGTTGAAGTCTGGTTACTTTTATCATCCTTGAGACAGGGAACTCTGCGGCCTGAGGCTGCCTCACTGAGGAGCTAGGTGGGCTTCCGGGCCTCCTCGGGGGCAGTGCTGAGTTTGTCTTGACTGTTCTGGCCCAAGGTGGGAGGAGGTGGGTTTGGTCACTTGCCTCCCACTTTGAATCTCTATCTTTCTATCTGTGAAATGACCTCTTTGTGCCTTCCCAGCACTGTCATCCTGATTGCCTGTGTTCTAGGTAGGTGGGTCCTTCAGCCCCTCCAGGTCTGTGAAGTCTGTGGAAAGCACTGGCCTAGAGTGGGGTGGGGGGTTGTCGGCGGGTGCTCCATTCCACTACAATCTCAGGGGAGTCAACCTCCCCTACCCCACTCCTACCCCCTACCCAAGCCATGGCAGGCCCCAGGAACTTGATCGTGGGCTTTGCTGTGTACCAAGTCCTTACACCCCTCTCAAGAGACAGTCATTGGCTGGGCACGGTGGCTCACACCTGCAATCCCAGCACCTTGGGAGGCCAAGGCAGGTGGATGACTTGAGGCCAGGAGTTCGAGACCAACCTGGCCAACATGATGATACCTCATTTCTACTAAAAATACAAAAACTAGCCAGGCATGGTGGTTTTGCCTGTAATCCCAGCTACTTAGGAGGCTGAGGCAGGAGAATCGCTTGAACCGGGGAGGCAGAGGCAGAGGTTGCAGTGAGCTGAGATCACACCACTGTACTCCAGCCTGGGCAACAGAGCGAGACTCCAGCTTAAAAAAAAAAAAAAGAGAGAGACGATCATTGCTGTGCCACATTCTTATGGATGAAAAAACTGAGGCTCAGAGGTGGAGTCGTTTTCCGGAAGTCACACAGCCAGTGCGGGCAGGTCTGGGATTTCTGCCCATTCCCACAGACCTTTTTCTACAGCAGGGTCTAGGGACCTGGTCTGGGCTGCCTGGTGGTACAGTACAAACCGCTGGGACCAGCAGTGCCTGGCCCATGGGCAAGGCCATGCCAAGGCAGTTCAGTGTCCTGGGTGTCACAGCTGTGACTGGAAAGGCGCCTCTTTCCCCTGGCTGGGCCTGGCACCCAGCGCCCTCCCTACCCTGGGAAGGCTGCCTGGGCCGCAGCTGTATGCTTTCCCACCCACCCTCAGTTCTTGACTGCAGGCCAGACAGCCTCTCCCCCACCCCTTTAATTTCCACTCGCCCGGTACCTCCAGCATCTCACGGCACCATGCCTCCCGAGGGTAACCCACTCTGCCACTCAGCTGTGACTGGCTCTAGGGAGGACCTGAGTCATCCAGGGGCCCGCCGAGGTCAAGCTGGGGGGTGGGGGTGGAAGGCCTTGGAGAGGCCTAAGGGGACAGCATGTTCCTGCCAGTGAGACAGTCACGGGAGTTTCCAGAGCTGCGAGGCCATCAAAGCAGGAAAACACCTGACACCCTGGACCTGGGCTGGACCCACCACCCTCACCCTCTGGAGTCGCACGCGCTCCCAGGCGAGCCCTGAGCCCTGAGCCCCTCCCTCGAGCAGCTGCTGTAAGGGTATTTATAGCCTGGAGTGTGAGGGGGCAAGGACACGCACTTTATTTCGGAAGTGATAATTCCAGTTCCAGATGGGTGAACCCCGGAGGACCTAGTGTCCCCTCCCTCACTCCATCCTCACCTATACCTCTGGGGACAGTACCCGCTCGCGCCCAGTCCACCTAGAAACAGTCCCTTCTTACTGAGTTCCAAGTGTGCAGGCCAAAGAGATGGGGCTGTTCTTCAGATTCCTCTTCCCAGCTTTCAGCCCCCGAGCTGCCCACAGCGCTCACCCTCCACATCCCGGCCACCCTCTGGCCATGGGGGTGACGAGTGCGGCGCGGCGCTGACCTCTAGTGGTCGGCGTCGGTAGTGCAGGGCAGACGGCCGAGGCTGAGTCGCCGGCGCGCGACGTACAGGGGCCGGCCACTTGTTCCCGTCCTGCTTTCCTCGCCCACTCCTCGTTTACCTGCACCCCTCTGCGCCTTGGCTGAGGCTCAAGGATTGAACCTGACAACCTAGGCGTCTTTGGGTAGCTACCTTCCCGGGACTAGGAACCCTAGGAATGGGGTGGGGAGGCAGTTCCGTTTCTCCGCTCACGCTGTCCCGCTGCCGCCCGCATAGGGCCAGGCACGCAGTTAATGTCTGCCATCCATCTATTCGTCAAATATTTGCGGTACATCTGCCTAGCCAGAGAGAAAAGGACATGAAAAGACCAGACCCCCGGGGCTCGCAAGCCAGTCCTGGGGCCTGACCATGCGGGAACTGCGGCAAACACTGGGCTGCGAAAGCGCTAAGGAGACCGAACCCATCGGGGGCGGGGAGGAGGGCCAGGCAATGTCCCTGGAGGAGGCAATGCTCTGAAAGTCAAGCAGAAGTTAGCTGGGTGGAGAAGCGGAACGCGGGGCTGAGCCTGCACTGAGGCTCTGCGGCCGAGGGCGGGCGGGAGAAGGTAAGGCCACGCCCCCCGGTTGTGACTGGCCAACCGGGATCCGACGTGTGGGCCCGCTGGCTGCCATGATAGGTTCTGTGTCCCAAGGGCGGAGCCCGCAGGCAGGTGTTGCTTCCCCTGGGAGCTGGGCTAGGACCTCCGCTGGGCTCTCCGCGGGTCGCCCCCTAGGGCTTCTCCAGGCTGCGGTACTTCTTGCGCTGCACGGACACCGGGTCCTTAAACAGCACCGGGTCCAGACGCAGACGAGAGGACAGCAAGGGCATGTGGCCGAACGCTGCCGCTATCTGGTTGACACAGTCGGGGGCTGGGGCCTGCGGCTTTGGCCTGGGCCCCGGGCCCCCAGAGGCCTAAGAGGGAAAGAAGCAATGGGTTAACAGGCTTCTCTGCCCTTCCGAACTCCCCACGCCCGTGCAGCAAGAAAGACTGGAATTAGACAGTGAGAGGGAATCCTCCCCGCAACCCCTGCCCAATCCCTGCCATTTCCGACCAGTCCGCCTCAGCCCTCACCAGTGGAGCAGCGTCCGGGCACTGCTTGCCATAGGGCACCTTGATAGGGGGCAGCTTGGTGACTGCCGCTACTAGGAAATTCATGAGGACATCCACACAGGTGGGTGCCTCATCTGCCAGGGTCCTCAGAGCCTTGGGCAGGGAGTGGGTGAAGAGAGTGTGGTAATACCTGGGCAAGGGGAAAAGACAGGTAGAGGCTGCAGCCAAATTCATCCCCAGGCCCCATTCTCCTCCCTCCTGACCTCACCTCTCCCTTTGACCCCCATCCCCAAGCCTCTGAGCCTGGCTGCCTCAGAGAGCTCCCATCCCTGGTGTGAACAGCTCTCCACTGTGCTGTGTACCCCGTGGCTCATCTGCAGTCAGTGGTGTGTTCCCTGTCCTCTCCCTCACAGCTCCTTGGGGCACCCATCCTTGGGCTCTGAGCGCTGAACTCAGAGTCAGAATTAGATGGGTTGGGATCAGCTGGTTTCAAAGCCATCAAACATGGAAGCCCAAAGAACAGTTGTGGATGAACCAGGCTGATACTGCTTCGGGTAAGTCTCACTTCACACAGCCCTCAGACAGGCCAGCCTCACCTCGCAGACATTAGGTTATTCACTACTCTATTGAGAATTCCCTGCAGAGCTCCTGAGTAATCTACAAGAGGTTCCAGGTTATGCATATTTGATTTAAACATGTTTAAGGAACACCTCTAAAGAGGTCTTACAGAATTCAGTCCCTGCCCCAAGACTGGAGCACTTCAGGCAGCTTCTGGAAGGCCTGGAATGTTCCCCAACTCATCACATCCACATTTATAAAGCATCAGTACTATTCTCTTGTCACCCCACCACCAGCAAACCCACACATTGCCCTTACTCACTGCATGGCTCTGCTTAAAATAACAATAGCTACCATTTGTGGAACCTCTGTGCCAGGGACTTCATTTAATGTTCACACCAGCCCTGGGAGGTGAATCCATCCCATTTTACAGATGAGAAAACAAACTCTAGAGAAGCGAGGAGATTTGCCCAGGATCCCACAGCTGGGAAGTGGCAGATCTGGGCCTTGAACCTGGATCCCTGGGGTCTAGGCCACCCTGCTCCATTCGGGGTAGGGGTCTCTAGTCCTCTGATCCTCTGATCCCTAGGCAGGGTGGGGGTCTGTACCTATGGTAGAAGGCGGCTGTGGTGAGAACCATGGAGAATTCATTGGTCCTCTCAGCAGTGTAGCCCCAGCCACCATGGGCCTCATCCCAGAAATGGCTTGACGTCAGGAAGCCCACCATCCGCTCTGGGAAGCTCTGCCACACCACAAAGGCAAAGTCCACCTGGAGAGGGACTCAAGTGAGCTGTGAGGAAGGACCTCCTAAATGCCTAGAACATCCAGAGAGATGGAGGCAGGGCCAGCCTGGCTGAGGGGCCGGGGCAGGACTCAGGGGAGAGGAGGTGGGAGCCATGGCTTAGAATTGGCTGGAAGTGCCGGGCACGGTGGCTCAAGCCTGTAATCCCAGCACTTTGGGAGGCCGAGGCGGGCGGATCACAAGGTCAGGAGATCGAGACCATCCTGGCTAACACCGTGAAACCCCGTCTCTACTAAAAAAATACAAAAAACTAGCCGGGCGAGGTGGCGGCGCCTGTAGTCCCAGCTACTTGGGAGGCTGAAGCAGGAGAATGGCGTGAACCCGGGAGGCGGAGCTTGCAGTGAGCCGAGATCACACCACTGCACTCCAGCCTGGGGCACAGAGCAAGACTCTGTCTCAAAAAAAAAAAAAAAAAAAAAAAAGAATTGGCTGGAAGTATGGCATGAAAGCTTCTAGGGGCCACAGAAACAGTTTCTCAAAAGAGTCCGTGGAAAGCCTCAACGAGTCTCCTAAAGAGGAGGCTGCCTGGCTTGCTGGGGTAGTTTCAAATGCAAGAGGTTGGACCTCATGACCTGGGGTCCCCTCAACCCTGGGAACCTGAGGGGCTGCTGGGGCCCTCTGGCTGTGTCCACCCATACTGGGCTTCTCTTGGGCCCAGCCCTCACCTCACTTGTGGA